TCCCCGTTCTATACTTACAATTTGGTATCAACTTAATAATGGTATCTGTGAAAATATGATAAAGAAAAAGGTTATACATGTATTTAAACAAAAGACAAAAAGGAAATTGATCAGTTCTGTTTAGTGTACATTTAGCTAACTTACTTTAATTTTTTTTTATTAGGGTAAGTCTATAGTTGGTTATTTTAAAAAGAATTATCTTATATGTATAAAATAGATATTATATTACTATTTTGGGCAAAATATTTAAAATTCAGAATAATAAACTAAATATAGTTTAGATTGTTTACGAAGTAAATATAATTATTACGAAGAACAAAAAGATGAAACTAGATATCATTTTCACTGTTTTTACCCAAAATCGTTACGTCATATGACGCTCAACTTAATACTAACAAATATAGGACAAAATGTATTACATTTATAATAGTTAATACCAAATGTAGTTTTGGTTAAGAAAATACACATAGCTTACCAGAAAAATTGAAAAAATAATAATGAATCATCTCTTCAGTGTTTATGGATCCACAATTACTGTGTTTTAGATATAAGTCTGTATTATGGTATTTGCAGACCTAGATTTAGCACCATTGCAATATAAATAAATTTTGTCAAAACCAGACCCAAACGTGAGTACATAATTATCACTAATCAGTGAGTCATTTCAATTAGATACAGCTTGTGTTCACTTGATTATTTCTAAAGCAAATTTATGTATGAATAAAACAATCAATATTCTGTTGATTAAAAAATAATTATGTTTTTCAATGAGTCAGTAAAGGGCAACCAGCATTGAAGAGGTGGTAACCGGGCTTCCAGCACCTAAATAAGATAAATTCCGCCATACACATTGATTGTTCACATATGATGAATCACAGCATCATCAAATGGCAAAATGTATCAAAATATGATTTTTTAAAGCCATGACGACTCAGTATAGACTGCATACTGCAGATGGTGTTGAATACAGTTCAATTTCATACTTTAATGTTGAGGAAAAAATGTGATATTGGTAATTCAGGTTTTAAAAAGTATCTTGATATCGTCGCAGTGTCTTTTTTCCTTACTGTGTGTGTCATTAAGAAAGTAACTTGAAAATCTTTAGTTCACAATATTTGTGCTTAGAACACTTTCTTCACCTAATAGGTCGCTGACATTAAGTACTTCTAAAGGAATTCTTTATGTTTAATCAAAATTAATGCACTTGTACAAAGATGTAATCAATTCACCTGCTTACAGAAATATGCAACCCTCGGTAAAGTACACCTGCTTTCTCTCTTTAGAAACATGCAAATAAACTCATAATAGATACCAGGAAATTTTGTACGCCACACGCGCGTTTCGTCTGCAAAAGACTCATCAGTGACGCTCGAATCAAAAACGTTAAACAGGTAAAAAAAAAGTACGAAGTTGAAGAGAGAGTTGTTTGTACATATCTCAGTGCCAATTATTGAGTCAAAATACCAAATTTTCACTTTGTCAAAATTGAACCTTTGTACTTTCACATTCTACATACAATTTTTATATATACTTTTTCTACTATACATGGACATTATGTTTTCCGTTCTGTGCCTCAGTTCGGTCGTTTGTTCGACCTTCCCGTATCAGATTAAATAATTTTTTAAAGGGCCGTTTACGTTGGGTTTAAAGTTGTTTACCATGCTAAAATGTATGTCAAATCGTCTAGAAACTAAGTACAAAGTTAATAATGATGTTAAATTTAATTTCAAAGATATAATCCAAATTGGTGTTTTTATCAAAATTTTAGAGATCACCGAGCATAGTAATGTGATAGTGAGGGCGGGGCATGGAGTCATATAAGCACACACACCAAAGTGAATTAACTATGGTCTTAGGCCTGAATAACAACAACGGATACCCTCTCTCTCTCTCTCTCTCTCTCTCTCTCTCTCTCTCTCTCTCTCTCTCTCTCTCTCTTGATTTTATCAATAGCTTTATACAATTGGTTCAACGTAACAGTGACTTTCATTGACTGTTACAAGGTGGTGGGTTATAAGCTTTTGTTCACTTTCGGTGCAATAGACAGTTTTTATGTACGACTCCTTAATACTTTTGTTTGTAAAAATAGTTGCCTAAATAACTTATCGAAGATACCTGGCTTCTAATTAGTTATGGCAGACGCGTGTTATGTCTTCATTAGACTCATCAGTGGTGCTTGCATCAAAACAGTTTGACAACCAAATCAAATACGAAGTTAAAAAGCATTCAACACGGACAATTCGGAAAAGTTGTGCCAAATACAGCTAGGGCAATCAATGTCTGTGGTAATAAGAACCATACGTGTTTTGAATAATTCAATATTTTTGAACAATAAATTTACAATATATGAACATGTCAATGATATTTTACGTCAACACAAAAGTGCAGACTACGATGTTGGTCATACCCTCGAAAACGAAACGCTAACCAGCAGTGGCATCTCCACAGTTGTTGTACAGACTGACCAAAAATAAGAGGCTTATAATTTGGTATGCAAAATACACATCTCGTTGCATCCGTTGTTTCTAAATAAGACTCATCATGAAATTAGATATCAATTAAATTAGAAGTTTTTTCAATATAAAGATAGAATATGTGAGATGATTGCCAATGAGACAAGATGAAAATAACTATTGTAGGTCACAGTACGACCTTAAACAATGAGTAAAACTTATACTGAATAGTAAGCTATAATTTATAGTTGTTTATCATCTTAATTACGTGTTATAGTGGTCTTTTTATTTGTCTGTGTATATTTTTAACCTTTACTGTTTAGTCCATTTTTTGGTAATATCCTTTGGCGTGGCTCGGTATTTATTCATCCAGCCATTGTGTTATAGTGCTATGGTCATTTTTTGTATTCTTGTCTTTCATTTTTGCTTATGTGTTTTGCCTATAGTGTGTCTACATGTCATTTTTGGTTTTCTTTGTTGACATAGTTGTTTTTATAGTGATTAAGATTATAACACAATTTTGACTGCTGTATCCCAATGTTTTACATTTTTACCTATTATGTCTGTTTGTTTTGCTCACACATTGTTTTTAATATAATAGAAATTTATGCGTCTGTCATACAAGTCAGAGGTTTGGCTAGCTATAAATCCAGGTTTAATCCACCATTTTCTACATAAGGAAATGCCTGTACCAAGTCAGGAATATGACAGTTGTTTTCCATTCGTTTAATCTTTTAATTTTGCCATTTGTTAAGGAACTTTCCGTTTCGAAGTTTCCTTGGAGTTCGGTATTTTTGTTATTTTACTTTAAGGCATGACAAAATGTGAAAATACTAGTTTGCCAATAGGAAAACCAACAGCCTGATTTATGTTAGAATAAAACGAAAATGAAGAGTATTTTGAAGTAATGAAACCGTTCGTCCAGAAAATGATAGCATTTTTCTCTTTCACAAAACAGGTCATTCGTATACCCATTAAGGTATGATACATACCAATTTCAGCTAGTCCTAACTATATAAATCTCAAAGATTCTTATTTTGTCTTTTGAAAAAAAATCATTTTAGGGTAAATTCTCGTACTCTTAAAAGACCTACAGTAGCTGAAACCTAGTTTTTAATCTCATTACAAAAAATATACATGTACACTGTTTCGAGAGTTTTCCCCTTTAACCCAGGTATCTGTTTGACTTTTTTAAAACATTTGGATCCTTCAACCTGCTTTATTTGAAAGCTAACGTCATACTATATACCATCAAGGTCAAGAAAATGAAACTTTTTTCGCATATAATGGGAATAAACTCGGATTTCCATCTATTGCAATTCCGCAAAAACATAGAATAGTATAATGATGTTGTATTGATAACAAGCGCTGCACAATTTCTCTGAAGTTGTCAATTATTATTTACGCGCATAATTTAGTGCTTTTGTCGAATATCGGACTGGAACGGCATTCACTACAAATATAAAATTTACCTGATGTGTGTGTCTTGATATCGACAATAAACAACAGTCTATCAAATATCGTTCATTTTCGTCCGAATTCGGTCCGTAGAACCTTAAGAATCGGGTGGATAGATAAGCAGCAAATTGTTTTCTCTCATCTATGTTTATTATTTGTTTATTTTTGAATGTTCCGTTTCAATTTGTTTTGTTTGTTTAGAGTTAGTTTTTGATTTTGCCCACATCTTAATATATTAAATGAGTACAGTGTACACAATACTTGCTCATCAGGAATTTATCTTATAGATCTGATATTAGTTTGCATTGCTTTTGATTATGATAATAAAATATATAACGGATTAAAAATGTGTCGCGTTTTGCGATTGAGTACCATCACACGTACAGTGATGTCAGTATATATTCCAGGAACAGCCGTTGTATATAAGGCCTTTTTACCCCAATTAGGACCTAAGTAACCTCAGTCGTAACGAACGTTTCAATGTGACGTAGTCTTAATCTACATCTAGTACTTTTTTAAATTAAAATGACGCTAATTAGACATCAAATAATAAATTAATGTCTAAAAGTATTATTTAAAAGTATTGCATACACGAGAAAATTATTTTCAATGCAAATAACAAAATATTTTACGTATGCAAAAAAATATCAGTGTTTATCAATATCTTTGGTCGTCAAAATACATAAAAAGGTACTATCATACAAACAGTGCATAGGAAAGCTAAATACTTTATTGTTAAAAAACATCTATTTGTCAAGATGAAAAAGTGCATTTTAGTTGCGTGCACAAATATAAGTTACAGATACATGTATTGAATATATATATTGCATGGTGAATATTCAACAAAAACCCTGTACTGGAAAATACGTTAACATGGTTAAGATTGGGTGTAATCAGTAATTTAAAACATATGTGAATGTAGACCCTAACTGGGAATGTCACATCATATACTCTGTCTGAGACCTGAATAACATATAGTAGCTGCGTCGTATTCTGCTTATGATATGATCAACGACTGAAAAATAAAATTTGCCAGCAGTGACCTATATATAATTACAAATATAATATAACACGGCCAAACATTCAAGCTCAAGTATGTTCATATCAATTTAATTCAATATTATCTAGTCTTTGTTCACTACTCCTTCAAAACAGCTATCTTCCGAGATATTTAGAAATTATTGCCTGTGATATATCTACATGGCAACGTTTTGCAGCATTCAAAACCTGATTGATTAATCTGCAATGGAAATAAAGTACATTAATTTATTATTTCAGATTTGCAAGAATAAAATCCATGTGAATGCTGCTATACGTTGCTTTATTAAATCTTCTTTGAATAACAATTATAGATATTTCGGTGTATGACGGCATGATTTAATATGAGCAGGTTAAAACATTGGGATTGTCCTCAATTACTAAGAGAATTATTTAAAACTGTTCATTTATTTTTTTTTTTTTTTTTTTTACTTTTGTTTTTTTTTTTTGTTATCATTTATACTCTTATAACTCTAAATGCTAGTCTTTTACTGATTTTTGTTGTATGTTTTTTTTAATATGTATCTCTTGTGGGTCCTTCGATCGACATTAATAGAGGATTCATATCTCAACAAAGAAGTAAAACTCATGCCAAATGTTATAATATATGTTCCATATCCCATCTATAAGTAAAATACGTTCGTTATATGGTCATTTATCTATCAAAAATTATTCAACTTACTTAAAATTCAAAAAGTCTGCTCTATCGAAGGTTTTCAAAAAACCATCAAAGTTATCTAAAACTACATCACAGTAACCACTCTGAATGTAACAGTCCTCCTGAAAAAAAAATATTAATTATCTATGTTTATTTCATTTTTTTACGTATTTTCATATTTTTAATGTGCTAATTATAGATGTGTGGTGGATAGTTGTCTCATTAGAAATCATTCGATATCTCCTTATTACCTTATATGTATGTGTTTGTTTTGATCTATTTTCAAGTTTGATACAATTAGAGTCCTCTCTCATAATGTTTACAAAACTTAAAACAAATGTCAGCCTGGCAAAGTCTAAATTGGTATTAATACATCTTTGTCTTCCAAACTCTTGTATAAGAAAGTTCCCGATGATGCTAAATCAAAAGAAGTGGTTGGAAAGCAGCTTTCAGAACATTGCTAATGAATCTTCGTAAAGAGCAGTGGTTAGAAAGCAGCTATTAGAACCTTTCTGATTTAGCTTAATCAAAAGAAGTGGTTGGAAAGCAGCTTTCAGAACATTGCTAATGAATCTTCGTAAAGAACAGTGGTTAGAAAGCAGCTTTCAGAACATTGCTAATGAATCTTCGTAAAGAACAGTGGTTGGAAAGCAGCTATTAGAACCTTTCTGATTTAGCTAAATCAAAAGAAGTGGTTGGAAAGCAGCTTTCAGAACATTGCTAATGAATTTTCGTAAAGAGCAGTGGTTGGAAAGCAGCTATTAGAACCTTTCTGATTTAGCTTAATCAAAAGAAGTGGTTGGAAAGCAGCTTTCAGAACATTGATAATGAATTTTCGTAAAGAGCAGTGGTTGGAAAGCAGCTATTAGAACCTTTCTGATTTAGCTTAATCAAAAGAAGTGGTTGAAAAGCAGCTTTCAGAACATTGCTAATGAATTTTCGTAAAGAGCAGTGGTTGGAAAGCAGCTATTAGAACCTTTCTGATTTAGCTTAATCAAAAGAAGTGGTTGAAAAGCAGCTTTCAGAACATTGATAATGAGTTTTCGTAAAGAGCAGTGGTTGGAAAGCAGCTATTAGAACCTTTCTGATTTAGCTTAATCAAAAGAAGTGGTTGGAAAGCAGCTTTCAGAACATTGCTAATGAATTTTCGTAAAGAGCGGTGGTTGGAAAGCAGCTATTAGAACCTTTCTGATTTAGCTTAATCAAAAGAAGTGGTTGGAAAGCAGCTTTCAGAACATTGCTAATGAACTTTCGTAAAGAGCAGTGGTTGGAAAGCAGCTATTAGAACCTTTCTGATTTAGCTTAATCAAAAGAAGTGGTTGAAAAGCAGCTTTTAGAACATTTCTGATGAAGATTAATCAAGAGGAGTAGTTGGAAAGCAGCTATTGAAAATTTCTTTGTGAAGCTTAAACAAGACACGTGGTAATAAAGCAAATATCAGAACATTCCGGATGAAAATTAGTCAAAAGATGTGGTTGGACATAAGCTATAAGAACCTTTCTCATGAAGCTTAATAAAAAACAATGGTTTGGAATAAACTATCAGAAAATGTCTGATGTAGCTTACGCAAGAGATGTGGTTGAGAAACAGCTATTAGAATGTTCCCGATGAAGCTTAGTGAAAAAAGAGTTGTAAAATAGCGCATTTTATATTTATCACTTTAAATAAGTACCACAGGATTGAAACCACACCATGCGCATTTCGTACCCTTGGATACGACCAGTGCTCCATATTATCAGGACTGAGCATTCATAATGAGCGTTCATAAAAAGATAAAAGCACTACATGCAAATATGTTACATATCGTTTGAAACTTTCCATTATTTATGACTTATCACTTACCTGATGTTTAAAAACCAGGTCGTATTCTGTAGAGCATGTAATGGATTGCTGTTCGTAGAATGGTAAAACTGCGTCCATTTCACATTTTGACATTTTGTCGAGAAAAATTTGACCCTGTAACAAACAAAATATTCGTTATACATGAAAATCAATTATTGATTTTTGAAATAATAAAAGAATAATTTTTTATAACCAGTTTGTTGAATATACATACCTTATTTGCATAAGTCTATGTTTTTTATAAACCCCTTAAATTGTGTATCAAATTCTCCATCTTCTTATTCAATTAAACAATCTTTACGATTTCCGATTTTAAATTTAATAGTAAAACTCAATATAAGTTTGTATATGGCTATATAATCTGATGTTCGACATATATTTTGCTATTCCTTTTTTTTTAACCATGCTAAAATTTATGTCTGCATTTTTCGTCATGTAGTAGGTGTCTTTTCATTGAATTATTCGGTGCATTAACACAACTATAAAATATTAAACACCGAATTTCTGGTCATAGCACTTTAGTGGAAACACTATACCCCTATAAGTCAGGTTTCTTATTGTCCTAATGTGAATAAAGGTTGATTTTTATCTTACCAATTATCGTATTTTATCGTAATTATTGACATAGTACGCGTACGGTAATATTAGAATTACTGTTTACGTTACCATTTGTTCACATGTCCTTTTTGCGGTCCGCGTTTAAGCAAAAGAATATATAAGAATGATAAGAATCAAGGATAACTGTTTTGAATTGAAATTAAAACACATTCTAGCGTCAATGTTTAATCGCATGACAACAATTATATACTTTCATTGTAGAAAAATATAAAATGGATGTTGCTCATACAAAATAGGAGAAAAGTGTGGCTGGTTTTTTTTTCACAATTTAAAAATATCGATGAAAAAGTTCATATATTTTCCAAGTATGTACACTGTTGATAACCTAACAAGGGACAAAATCACTGGAGGGAAACATTTCCCTTGCTATATATACAAATAGACAACAATCAACTAAAAAACTTGACAGTCACCTTTGACTTCTACAGGTATGTTATAGTCAGGTCAATATATGATTTTTTAATTACTTACTGCCGTGTTAAACAAGCTTCTGAACTGAGGCTGTTGAAATTTTCTGCAGTATTTACCACCATATCCTAATGCATAACCAGAACTTCCACATGGAAATCTTTGTTCGAAACAATCATAAAAATCACATGTACCATTATGTGCCCAGTCAATACACTCAGGGCGAACATCTATGGAAACATAAATATAAGTAAAACAAATGAGGAAGACATAACATTTAAACAAGTATCATAATTCAAACAGAATGCTAAATATAAAGACAACAACAGGTTAGGTAGCCTATCAACCAACCTGTTAAACCATCGCAGACTACACCATTAAATCCTTTAAAAATTTGAACCAGCTCATGCATCTCTTTTATTCAAAAAAGAATATACGCTTGATTTAGGAAGAGAGACGAAAGATACCAAAGGAACATTCAAACTCATAAGTCGTAAACAAACTGACAACGCCATGGCAAAAAAGAAAAAAGACCAAAAAAACAACAGTATACAAAACACAACATAAAAAACTAAAGACTGAGCAACACGAACCCCACCAAAACTGGGTGTGATCTCAGGTGCTCCGGAAGGGTAAGCAGATCCTGCTCCACATGTGGCACCCGTCGTGTTGCTCAAATTAGTACAAACCCGGTAATAAGTCTAATTCGGTAGGTCACATTCGGGAAAAGGGGGACGGGATTGTGGTGACGACATTAGAAACATATCCGCTATCATCTGTGAAACGGATATTCCATAATCGTCAACCAACTCGTGATGGCGTCCGTAAAACTTACGAAGGGATGATTTCAACTTCACCACTTGGAAGTCTTGGTTTAATAGTTTCCTTGTGAGCAGCAACCCTCTATCACGGAAATCATGGAAGGAAATACAAGCCCTGGAATATCGTATCAACTGGGAGATATATAACCCGTATGCAGGCGCTGCTGGAATGTTGCTACATAAAAGTAACCATGTTATCGTTACAAAATAATCGTCAATGTTTTATTACCTATGATAGCGTTACAACAGTATTAGCTTCGTCCATTGTAATGAGATTTATCTATGATGACAATTTGGTTATAACAACAGGATATTATTGTCTATAGAAACTGTGTAATCACTACATTAGGACGAACTTAGTCCATTGTTACCATTGGATCGCTAAAACAAGATAAGTTTTATCTATAGAAACCTTATGACCACTAACACAAGATGGGTGTTATCTATAGAGACCATGTGATCGGTACATTTAGATGCCTTTAGTTCATTGTAACAATGTGACCTCTACAATAGTGTGATCTTTAGTTATAGTCACCATTTGATCAGCAGGGTGTGCTTTTTCTTTCGTTGTAATGTGATCGTTATAGCTAAATCAAAAGTAACCAAGAAGATTTTATGTTATGATTGGTTCAATAGGAGGGGTACAGCATGTGCAACTATATGAGACACATTGCCTCAGGCAGTGGTTATCCTTGTCTTAAAAGAACCTATTCATGTTTGTCAAAATCAAAGCAGTAAGGTACGAAAACGTTTGTTAACATGGACAAGGTTTTAACATTTTTGCAAAGTAACATGTCTATCAATGAAAGAAAAAAAGGTATTTTCTTCCCTGTCTATTTGAAAATCATTTATTTAATCTATAATGTATGTCAGAATTTTGTAATAAATATAAAGGGAATAATTTTTCAGTGTGTCTTATGCTTTTCCAAAACCCTGTTTGTTGTTAAAAAAGATAGAAAAAAATCTACACACTTCCAAATGAATTAATACATATTGGCAAAGCATACGTTTAACTCTGATTGTTCCAGTTGTAGGTTATAAAAAAAGGCGTTTCTTATGCAACAAATCAGTATGTTTTAAATTTGGGGTATTTCCATTAGGTAGATACCATTGCTGGTGGTTATTTGATCCAGACCAGTAGTGAGAGCTTGTAAACTTAAGAGAATTGAAATAACATAGTTGATAATTGTTATTCAAACTCGCTCACTGATTAACAAATTCGACCTTTGTCATCTAAATATAAAAATAAGACGATGTAGTATGATTTCCAATGAAACATCTCTCAACAAGAGAACAAATTACGTAAAAGTTCGCAGCTATAGGTGAATGTACGGTCTTCAACAATGAGCAAATCCCATACTGCATAGCAAGCTATGCAAATGACAAATGTAAAACAATTCAAACGAGAAAACTAACTGCCTGATTTATGTACAAAACAATAAACGAAAAAAACAAATATGATTAAAACAGACGGCAACCACTAAATTATAGGTTCCTGACTTTGAACAGGCACATATAGAATGTGGCCAGGTTAAAAATGTGCAAGCCCCCAAACCTCCTCCTAACATGGGACAGTAGTGTAACAGCACAACATAAGAACAAATTATAAAAATCAGTTGAAAAAGACTCATTAGATCGATACAAAGCAAAATCAATTTACTAAAACACAAAAGATACAAACTACAGATCTGAGAGTACTCGCAGTTACTGAAAGCTAGCTCAAAGCCAATAACAAGTAATTTGTTGGTTTCCATCCAATGTCTATGCGCCTTTGTCCAGTTTGTTTACCAGAGTTTTATATTCAGATATGCGCTTTAGATGTATTGAATTTTGAATTTTCTATTATGACTTTCCTCTCGAAATATGAACCAAGATTGTCTTAATTAGAGCGGGCATTTCTGCTATATCTACAGAGTCAGCTGTAAGGCGTCAAAACAACAGACCGTTATAATTTACAAACCACCAAAAAGCATTTTAGGCCCAATTTTCGATAACAACTATAGAGATGTCATTTGGTTTAGTAGTTTGAATCTTTACGTTCCAGATCCGTTCAGCAATAAGTGCGCTGTTATAATAATTTTTTTCCATTTCATAGGATTTCTGGACATTTTATATCAGGGGCAGTCACTACGTTTTCTTTCCTTAATAATAAATAATATATTTGCACTTGCTAACGTTAAATCTCATCATTTACCTGTTTTGGCATTAATTGTCTTTGATCCACCATGCGTATTCAGATTAAAAAGAAAGCCATGAGAAATTCCTACTAAACAAAGATATACAACCGTTTTCATTGCTGAGAATTAATTTTAGAAATTTTGCTATCTCTGGAATTCGACCAAATGTTATATTGCATTCTCATGTCTTGTATTTATAAGAGAATGTTATAAAACGATTACACTAATACTTGTTACAGTGTGGAAGAACACGTGACTTATAGAAAGATAAGAAGATAAACACCATTTTAACTTAGTGATTTCTTGCATAAGCCAAAGGTGTATCCGTTCGTTTCATATACTGAGACCCAACCTAGAGAATTTTTTTCTGAAATATGGTTGATTTTCACTATTGTTATTATTCATGTTGCACTTACATTTCTATCACAATTATAGTCAAGCGAAAATCGTGTAAATAAACACTTCATATAGATCTAGTTTGTACTGTATACATAACTTCCATTTAACGCATTTACTTAAAACAGGGTATAAATGTTAGCATCAAGTTTGATCAGATATGGGGTGAATGCTCATCTCTTGGGAATAGAACGTTATATATAATATGAAATTATATAGACTAACCCAGAGGTATCTAAAAATAAACAAATGCACATGTACCATTTCAAAAGAATTCAAAACAAATATCCATATTCTCTGAAAACATTAAGAAAACATTGGATAGAACCATTGGCGAATGACTGACATACTTATTACTTTGTTTAGGTATTTATCTCAGGACACAAATCATCACGATTTTGTAGCCAGGGATCCTGTTCAACCATTTTTCCGTGTCGCTAAGATTGACCAAGAGCGAAACATCGCGTCATTTTTAAGCTCTTCATTGTTTTAATAAATTTTGGATCTTCCAAAATCGTGGCCTTGAGCTTCACTGAATAGACATTTTTGTCGTCATGCGCATCATGTGCAGTAAAATGGGTACCGTTAAATAAATATGGTTCGTGTAGGCATTAATGATATGTCTCGAAACATTTTACCGTTTTCTATTATTTTTGCGTGATGTATTCGAGCGAAACTGTTAGAAGCAAAATTGATCAGCAGGACAAGATCTGCAAATCAGTCAACATGGCCACATTCTTTTGCTGACTGAGTAATTGCCCTTGAAAACAATTTTGCCCATTTTTGTAGTGTTTTTTTCAGAAACATAAAAAGATGCAAAGAAACTATATGTAGCAAAATTGACCAACAAGACACAATTTCCTATTAACTTAACATCGCCGAATTGTCAGTGGACTTCCGCATAGGAGTTATTGTCCTTGAATAATAGTTTTAGCAACTTTGTGTGGTTTTTTTGCGAAACTATAAGATGGAGAGAAATTGTAAAATGCTAAAATTATCAACTGGACGCGTACAAAAAAAATCAGTCGTAAACATGCCTTAAATCGTCAGTAAACTCCTTATATGAACAATTTGCTTTGAGGGAATATTAAATTTCTTTGTCGATTTTTTCTGGAATTCATTTCAAATTTTCGTATTGCATTTTATCACTTTAATGCAAAATTAACAGGTGGGAAATACTGCCTTTGAGCCTCTTCTTGTCATTTTTACGTTGTGTCAAAATGAAGTATATCTCACATCTTCTGTTTTCATAAACCTTCTTTTAATGTGTTTATATTGTAGAAGATCACAAAATATATGTTTTACAATGTGCTATCTTACTGTAGACATATACAATTTAGCGTTCATTAGCACTTTTTTGGCTTAATAAATACAGCAAGAAGAAATTCAATGGCCATATGATTATTTTAGATATTCAATTGTTAATTTCTTTCTTTGTGCATGATCGTGCATTGTATTGACTTTAAAAAAATATGTATTGCTATATTAAAACAATCCAATATCACGAACGCAAACATGTTCTAAATACTCATCTTCAACCTTGGCATTCTAATTCTTCATGTTAACATTTCAGTGGCTATTAACCTATCATTTCTCAGGTTTCGAAACAATAGTTATTTCTTTTGCCGCTTTTCTTTTGTGTTTAGATATATTGAAACAATCCCACACCACAAACGGAAACGTGTTCAAAATATTCAAATCAACCTTGGCATTTTTGTTCTTCAAGTAGATATTTCAATGGTTATGAATCTTTTTTTCCTAGTTTTTTTTTGTTTATGCAACCTTCAGATTGTATGTAGTTTTGCAGTTTTTAAGCGCGTCTGACCTTACAAATTATAAGCCTGGTATGATTGAGTTTTTTTCTTTTGTGGTTATGTATTATAAAACAATCCCAGATCACGTACAAAAACATGGTCAAACTATTCAACTTAAACCTTGGGCTTGTTTTTCCTTCAATTTTATATTCCAAAGGTTATTTACCTATCTTTTCCAAAGTTCATTGTTTTCGGAGACAAATGATGATATTTATAAATTATCTAAAGGGTTTTTGAGCTTACTTGAGTGAACGTCGTTGCTCATTGGAGACACCAAAATCCAAGTATTTTTTTTACTCGAATATCACTCAAAATCAATCTTTGATCTTTGATCAGGACAAAAGTAGACTTGTAAAGCATGAAAGCCTGAAAACATTAACTTTAGATCAACGACCATCAACTATATTTGTCATCTCTCAAAAAATGAAATCTCTCTTTGAAAACCAAATATATCAGGTAACTTTAAAAAGATAACAATTTTCTACTATCGTCATTAGGACTTTAAATTGTTGTTTTAAGTGTAAGAGTTGACAACTTTAAAAATTTAGCTTTTATGACAATAATAGGAAAAATGGTGTTTAACAAATAAACCTACCCTTCCCCTATTTCAGTGTTCAAATGTTTTAATAAATCAAACATTTTAGTATGTTTAGGATAAATGAAGTTAAAATCAGACGGTGTATTGGGTACTTGATCCAACCCATTAGAAGAGAGGCGAAAGATACCAAAGGGACATTCAAACTCATAAGTAGAAAAAAAAATTACAACGCCATGGCTAAAAAAGAAACAGACAAACAACAGTACACAAAACACAACAAAGAAAACTAAAGTCTGAGCAGCACGAACCCCACAAAAAACTGAGGTGATCTCAGGTACTCCGGAAGGGTAAGCAAATCCTGCTAATACGAGTACAAATTGGGTGATAAATGTCAGAATTGAGGAAAAGAAGACGGGATTGTAATTACGACAATTGCAACATATCCGTGGTCATCTGTCACACAGATATTCCATAACGATCAACCAACTCGTGATAGCGTCCGTAAAACTTTCAAGAGATGACTTCATCTTTACAACTGGAATTTCTTAGTTCAATAGCCTCCTTGTTAACAGCAACCCTTTATCGAGAAATCATAATAGAAAACGCAAACTCTGGAATACAGCATCAACTTGGAGATATATATTTGATATGCAGGCGCTGTTTGAATGTTGCTTCATAGAAATGGAAAGTTCACAATTGGGAATGTGGAATCATTTCTTTTCTCGTAAAGTGTTGGTCTCAACAGACCCTTAGTTGTCAATTTCTAGATACTATTATGAGGCAGGCTTAACTTTACCTGTGGTATCCTTTATTTCAAGTTTGATCGGATAGCTGCGTTCAACATAGTCACCAAACTTTGAATGATTTAGTGAGAGGACATCATCTATACATCGGATCGTGTAGTTAAAAATAATGCTATCTTTTTTCTTTCTTCCTAAATATATAATACTACTTGCTCTTTTTAGAGCTACAAAACCAATTCAAAAAAAGTTGTCACATAACATTTGGCCGATAAAAAATCAATGAACATTTAACACTAATTATGATACTTATTCGCTACATATAGGTATAATAGAGTTGATATATTTGAGGAGGCGAGTAACCGAATTACAAGTGTTGTGGAACTGGAAGCTCGTTTCTATTTGAATTGCCTAGCGTTATTCTGTCATATTTCTGTCTTATATTGAAAGTTTAAACCTTAGATAGTGTTGACACGTTTATACAGTGTTAATTTAATATAGGGTATCCTTTCCACCTTATTCAGAATACCTGAAAATAATTTAGATTATAAAGAGTGTGAATGTTTTATCAATTGTCAGTCGTGAAAAGTTGTGTAAATTCCATATGCTTACTCTGAGAGGAGCTTTCAAAATTATCAATGGCGCTTTTGGCAGGTTATAAAAGTTTAAAGAATTCTTTCAGAAACATAATTGGACTGGGATCTCAGTCAAACTCGGATGGTCTTGGATATATGAGGGTCTGGATGGGGGTTCCTTCATTTCTGTATTTTAAAATTTTTAGGTCAATTTTCTCTATTCTTTACAAATGCTTTATAGTTTTTGCCCATTATTTTCTATTCTTTATATTTTAGCACCTCATTATTCTCTATTCTTTATTTTTTTTGTCCATTTTTGTCTATTCTTTTAATGTTTGTCCTGTATTCTCTATTCTGTAAACACCCATCCACACTCTGATATACCAATCCCATTAAAATGCCTCAAATAAGAAAATATCAATGTCAATCAAATAAGATTCAACTGAAGTAAAACCGTTTTTAAAATTCTATTTAAAATGTTTTGAGGCAGTTCCATTTTCAAATCAGGTCAAGGGAGATAGTCTACCAATTATATTGCAGAAAATGAAAAGTTTAACATAAATGCAATATGTTAATTGAAATCATTTGAGTTACATCTGACGTACAAAACTTCAATCCTGGTATCCATGATGAGTTTATTATTCAAAATAAAACGCAAACTACATTTGGAACTTTATTCAGAAAAAACTCGTAAATAAGATCAATTATACTAACATTTGTGATCGTTTTATAAACGGTGACCATGCTTCTGATTAAAAAAATCACATTGTCTCCACCGGGACTCGAACCAGGGACCTCTATATTACAAGTCAGTACTCCAACCAACCGAGTAAAAGTACTTGCCTAGCTAATAAGTAGTATCTATAATGCAAGGGAAGCAATCCAATCACAGTCTAAATATGTGTTTTGTTTCTGAATTTTACAGTTAGTTTGCCTGGCTATTTGCCGATATAATTGATATATTGTTAATATTACCCTGTAGCTGCAATGGTACAATGCACTATTACAGCGTGATCAATGATCTAGCAGAGAGCTCCGCTCAAACCGGTGCAAGAGACCTTCTTGAACTTTCGTTTATGTTCAATGTTTAAGGCCTTACCCATGAAGAGCATTGTTAATGAGTTAGAATAAAATTCAGTTTCCCCGGGCCATATAAACAGTGCTTAGGTACATCTTTATTTATAGTATTAAGCCGTTTTAATTGGATTTAAAAAAATTTTAAAACCAACAGATATATAAAGAATATGTCATGGTTCAAATTGCTGTCTCAAAAGTTGTGAATACGTAACAGAGCTATCTTTCAAATACCTGTCATCACGACCGAATTCAACAAATAACCAATACATAAGTCAACCTCTGACGTAGTTCCTGGATTCGAACACGCGCGTGAACGATAGGCCGGGTTAATTAGTTCTTTCCACCCTTCCTTTTATAATCTCGATCAGTGGACTGACTTAAAAGAAAAAGACTATAGAAATGAGTACAGGAAAAACACTCCAATCTGTGATATACGGTATTATGGATAAACTCATCATAGATACCACGATTGAAATTTTGTACACCAGACCAGATGCCAGAGTAATAAACCTCTGAAATGAAATTTTGAATGGTTCAACCGGAACAAAACTCGTTATTAAATGTAATTGCTTATTTAAATATCAGCAGTCAGTGTTCTATAAGATAACTGAAAACTAAGCAGGACATATTCTCTTATGGTAAAATTTCATAGAGATCCATTTACTTAAACTAAAGTTATTGTGCGAAAACCAATGTGTCTTCGGACGACGACGCCAACGATATTCCAATATACGACCGCAAAAATTATTTGCGGTCGTATAAAAACTCATCAAAGATACCAGGCTTATAATCATAAATGTCAGGCGAGTATTTTGTCTACAAAGATACTAGGCTTATAATTTTATATGTCAGACCAGTGTTTTGTCTACAAAGATACCAGGCTTATAATTATATATGTCAGGCGAGTGTTTTGTCTACAAAGATACCAGGCTTATAATTTTATATGTCAGACCAGTGTTTAGTCTACAAAGATACCAGGCTTATAATTTTATATGTCAGACCAGTGTTTTGTCTACAAAGATACCAGGCTTATAATTATATATGTCAGGAGAGTGTTTGTCTACAAAGATACCAGGCTTATAATTAAATATGTCAGGTGAGTGTTTTGTCTACAAAGATACTAGGCTTATAATTTTATATGTCAGACCAGTGTTTTGTCTACAAAGATACCAGGCTTATAATTATATATGTCAGACCAGTGTTTTGTCTACAAAGATACCAGGCTTACAATTATATATGTCAGGAGAGTGTTTTGTCTACAAAGATACCAGGCTTATAATTATATATGTCAGGCGAGTGTTTCGTCTACAAAGATACCAGGCTAGTAATTTTATGTCAGACCAGTCTTTTGTCTACAAAGATACCAGGCTTACAATTATATATGTCAGGTGAGTGTTTTGTCTACAAAGATACCAGGCTTAATATTATATGTCAGACTAGTGTTTTGTCTACAAAGATACCAGACTTATAATTTTATATGTCAGATAAGTGTTTTGTCTACAAAGATACCAAGCTTATAATTATATATGTCAGGCGAGTGTTTTGTCTACAAACATACCAGGCTTATAATTTTATATGTCAGACCAGTGTTTTGTCTACAAAGATACCAGGCTTATAATTTTATATGTCAGGTGAGTGTTTTGTCTACAAAGATACCAGGCTTATAATTATATATGTCAGGCGAGTGTTTTGTCTACAGATACCAAGCTTATAATTATATATGTAAGGCGAGTGTTTTGTCTACAAACATACCAGGCTTATAATTTTATATGTCAGACCAGTGTTTAGTCTACAAAGATACCAGGCTTATAATTATATATGTAAGGAGAGTGTTTGTCTACAAAGATACCAGGCTTATAATTAAATATGTCAGGTGAGTGTTTTGTCTACAAAGATACTAGGCTTATAATTTTATGTCAGACCAGTGTTTTGTCTACAAAGATACCAAGCTTATAATTTTATTTGTCAGACCAGTGTTTTGTCTACAAAGATACCAGGCTAGTAATTTTATATGTCAGGTGAGTGTTTTGTCTACAAAGATACCAGGCTTAATATTATATATGTCAGGCGAGTGTTTTGTCTACAAAGATACCAGGCTTATAATTTTATATGTCAGGTGAGTGTTTTGTCTACAAAGATACCAGGCCTATAATTATATATGTCAGGAGAGTGTTTTGTCTACAAACATACCAGGCTTATAATTTAATATGTCAGACCAGTGTTTTGTCTACAAAGGTACCAGGCTTATAATTACATATGTCAGGCGAGTGTTTTGTCTACAGATACCAAGCTTATAATTATATATGTCAGGCGAGTGTTTTGTCTACAAAGATACCAGGCTTATAATTTTATATGTCAGACCAGTGTTTTGTCTACAAAAGACACCAGGCTTATAATTATATATGTCAGGCGAGTGTTTCGTCTACAAAGATACCAAGCTTGTAATTTTATATGTCAGACCAGTGTTTTGTCTACAAAAGACACCAGGCTTATAATTATATATGTCAGGCGAGTGTTTCGTCTACAAAGATACCAAGCTTGTAATTTTATATGTCAGACCAGTGTTTTGTCTACAAAAGACTCATCAGTGATGCTGGAATCAAAAAAGTAAAAAAGGCCAAATAAAGTATGAATTTGAAGCAGAAAATGTTCAGTAAAGTCAATATTTGGAATTTAAGGCAGTCTTTTTCAACTATTACAAAATAAAGAAAAACAAATAACAATGAAAACATATGTCTAACAGGCTTTATTACAAGTTTGTATATATAACATATTCAATATTAACAATTTAATTATTGCACGTGCATCATTACTTTCTATATACAACTATCTATATCACAAAGAGCAAATTAATACACTGTCAGGTATATATATATAGTACACAAAAACATAAACATTTGTAAAATAAGGATTTCTATAATATCAACAAAGTTAAAAACAAAACAAAAAAGAGTTTCAAATGGATTTCCATAGAATGAGTGGTTGCATAAAAAAAATGGTATGCTTTAAATATTCTGAAATGCATTTCTTATCAAGACTTGTAGTAAAGAAAGATTCTAATCTTTCTAATTTTCATAAACATATTCAAAAACTAAACTATGCTGTTCAAAAAACAATTATTTCCATCATTGTCATAATTGCAGGCATCAAGTATTCTTACATTTTGACTGTTCTATTTACTTCTTTTCAAATTGCAATGAATAAGAACAACCAAATTCAACTGGTAATAAACTATGAATTCATATATTAAAAAAAAAAATTTTTTACTGTTCTGAAGCACTTGTCCAGTAATACTATAGAAATCAGTTTAAAATAAAAAAGTCTTTATCTCATGTGCTTATTGAAAAAAGGAAAATGATACACAAGTACTATTATAAACAATAAATTTAAACTATTATAAAATTAGTGCATTCAATTAAAATTGTCATGGAATTCAAATCAATCAGAACCTGACCTTCCATTATACATCACAACTAAATGTTAAGCTTACTAGTTCTTTCATAAAGCACATGCAAGTTATATAACACACAAATTTAGGGGTCTTACATTTCATCATTTGACTTAGTCAGCTAAAGAAATGAACCTAACAATAGTAGTACCTCTGTCTTTGTGCCTTTCTCTCATTCACAATATATTCATATATATAATGAGAGAGAGAAATTGAACTTTCCTTTATCCAAGACTTTCAATAAAGAAGAATCATGGCTTTACAAAGAGCTTTCAGTATAATTCAATATTATCAATGCATTAAAACACTATTTGTTTGTAAAAAATCTAGACAGAACAATATTAAATAGAGAACGGAAACTTTTCTTCTTCTAACCAAAAAAAAAACAGACTTTATCTCCAGATACTTTTTTTAAATGTAATTTTCTTATGGATCAACAGCATATAACTTGTTTTTGGAATAATATTTTAAATAATGCCATAAGTTTCCTTGTAACTGATAATACTGAAATAATGCCCAACTATTCTTGATAACATAAACACTGTAAAAGAGCTTTTTTTTCCTACAATTTTGTTTTCCTTTTGTGATGAAAGAAAATGTGAATAGATAGTTGAAAATCAACTATACATTGTATTGGTGTGAAGGGCAAAAAAAATTGTTTGATGTGAGAATTTAATCCCTGTGCATAAATTTAATAGCCCTCAAAGGAAAAGGTTCACGAGGGAATACAATTGGACCTTATATTTTTGTTTTCTCAATCAGTGCAAAATGTCTGTTAATGAACTCATCTTTTGGTTACAGAACATTTTGCATTGTAGATTGCAGCCAAGGTTTTCCTAAAGCTTTTAGGTCCGAAAAATGCGTAAAATCATTTTTTGACAAGATCTCCAAAATAGGCTGACTTTAGAGCCTATAATTTAATATCATGTAGGGATTCATTTACTTTTCACGAATCAGGCTTTTGAAATAGATTCATTTTTGAACAAAATTGGGGCCTCTTTGATATATCAATTAAAAGCGATATTTTGCCAAAAGTGAACCTTGTCCTTTCAAAAATATGTACTTTTATAATAGTTTGTAATATAAAATTCATGAAAAAATTTACATTTTCTCTTCTGGCAACTAATTCAACATCATTGGAAAGTTGGTGAAAATCTGTTCCATATTTCAAAATAAATACAATGGTTCTTAATAATATTTGAAATTAAATACAATAGTTCTTATTAATATTCGAAATTAAAGAACCTTAAGTGAGTAAACTTGTATACCTCACCCCCTTTCCCCCCTTATAAAATAGTAACCTGATGGCAAAGTTCTTAATAGTATGATTCTTGTCTGTTAGGATTTCAAACAGCAATATTATCCTACACAAATCTATGTCTTTAGTAACTTTGACCTTGACCTTAGACCTAGTGACTTAAAAATCAATAGGAATCAAGTGACCATATATTAAAGTAAGGTTGCAATACCATGTAAAATATTTGATTTAGAATTCGGAATCCAAAATGACTGACAGGCTGACTAAATGAAGGACAGGTAAAAAAAAACTTATATACCCCAGTTACTTTGTAGTTTGGGCTATAATAAAAACTATAATGCCTGGTATTCAGATGAACTTATGTAAGAATCTAAACGAAATAGAGGTAGACAAAAAAAGTGCTACTTCTATGAAAGGTACTCACATTTATTTTACAAAAGCATCAAATAAAAAACAGGTATATCTACATCACAGAAAATAACAATTAGAATTTATTAAAACACAACAAGAATTATAAAATTGTTTTTCTACAAACAACAAATTTATCACAAAAACATTTTTCGCATATTAACAGTCAATAAATTATCTAATTACAATCTTATATATATGATTTACCTATATGGACTATACAAAGGACATAATTTGCATTTTTGTACACATTGTCTTGTAAAGCAAATATAATCTTAAAATAGATCTTGACCTACACCTAACATCCAACAGGTTATGGATTATTTGAGTATCACAAGAAAGTCAAGATAAAAGTCATTGGAACAAAGTTAACTAACATACATTTATGATTAGTTAATTAAAAAGGAACACTGGGCGATTGATTCATAATAAATTCTATAAATAATCTGGATATTTATCACTTTCTTCAATGAATAAGCTTTACCTATCCCAGGAATACAATGCAATACAGATATTCAAACCTCCAAATGCTATATTAAGATCAAATAATGTTAAAATTGTTTAGAAAATTTCCTAACAATTTCTGAAACAAAATCCCCTTTTGCTTTAGAGCACTGAATAAGAGCCTATAACAACTGATCCTTTACAAAACTAAGAAAAATTGTAGTAAAACCATGACCAAACAGCAATAAGATCACTTTGACCAGAAAGTTTTAAGGACTCATATCTGGTTTAGGTTACCATAGATTTGGCAGACTAGAAAGTTTCTCAAGACTAGCATAAATTCTGATCAATACAGTCAATAAATTTCCATACATAATCCACAAGTAACTCATATAATAACATTGACAAATGTTAGACAAATGCAAATCATATCTTTTTTTATAATTTGTGTAAATATATTATTTTTTTCTAATTGCAACAAGAACTATGCTTTCACTAACATGTGACAGAACCCAAAATACAACCAAATTTAAGGTAAATAAACTATTAGATCTACACATATAACTTTTACAATGATTATAGCATATGGCTATCTATAGTTGCAACAAAGAAGACAAACACAGTTATAAAAATACATTTTCAATTTAAAAATAGAAATTTCTATAATAATTATTAAATGCTTTATAATGTAAACACTGATTTATTTTTTACTTGCAGCAGTTCTTTGGTACTTTTAATCTTTTTGACACTTTTGATTTTGGCAGATTGATTAAAATACTGCAAAATTTTCTGAACTTTTTGGTTATAATTGTTTTTGAATGACATTTGCTCTGGCCTACCAGATATTTAAAAAGGGGGAAATTACTGAAATTTTAAATAGAGCTGAAGCGATTCAAAATTTCACAATTTTACAATATAAAGACAAAAACACTGAACATAGAACATTTTCACAAACTGGCAGGATAGTTATTTTTATAATTAACATTATCAAACTCTGAACAATTATACAACCAATTATATATATATTTTTTTTTTTTTTATTTTAATGTTCAAAGAAAACATCTTAAAGGGATAAGAAAATAAGCTTTTTTTTAAACAATAAAATCTATTTCAACAAGATCACATTTGATGCTGACAAGTAAATAAGTATCGTTGGTTAAAAAAATCTGAGCAAAATGAAAGTGAAAGTAGAATATTTGCTATGTTTGTCTTCTTTGATGCTGAGCTAAGTTTTGCTGTTTATCTAACAGTAAATGTTGTTTATCTTGTTGTTCCTTTTCCATGCCTGCAGCTACATAGGAAAATACACATAACACTGCATAACAGATCTGGTCTGCCTACAAAGAAAAAAAATATATCTTCAAACAAGGATTTAATACATGCATTAAGCCAACATAAAGCACTTCATTTTATATCATTTTCAACCACAGAAAATACAACAAAAATTTGAATACTGATTGTATGTATTGAATGGATCCATTTAAATTTCTAGTGTCATCTTTCCTCTTTCAATTGTAAATTTCATTTTGGTGAAGCCTAAAAATACTTGGTGTTTCTGCTACCTTTCCTTAATTTAAAGTAAAAATGTGAATAGAAATGTATAGGAATTAAAAAACAAACAGACCCCTGACACTTATTATGAGCCGTAAAAAAGTTATAATTTTTTGGCCTAAACATATGAACAAAAAAATAACAACACAATAAAACCTCATAAATTTCTTCACACTACACACAAGGCTTGATTATATTTGACATTTCTAGTAATGAGTTTCTTTCACATCATTTTTCATTTTAAAATTTCATTGTTATTTCTTGTTAGCAATAATACTTATGATAACTGTTAATAAAGAATGTTCAAAATCAACCTTTTTGTTAAGAATATTAATGAATATCAGTCAGAAATTATATATAATATAGAAAATGCTAAATTTTTTAAAAATATTTGTTTAAAGGTATGGAAAATCTAGACTAATAAAGCAAAAAACAAAATGAAAGTAGAACAAAATGTTAGTGCAACAGATTTAACAAGCTGTTAGTAAAATAAGAAAAAAAACAAACAAAGGTTAAAGGTTAACATTTTTTAAGCAGAAATATCATAAGGTATAATACTGTTTATATGTAGTCTGTAAAGGTAGTGTATGTTTAATTTAATTCGAAAGAAATTAGAACATTTTTGTATATTATCTGCAGAGTTCTAAATTATCATTGCATAACAATCAAAGATTTCATCCCATAACAAAACAGATCATTTCAACTGACCCAGTATCTTTCAAATTGGAGACTTTTACATAGAGCTATGACATTTCATTTGTGGAAGTCAAAACTTCTACCCAATCAATCAATTATTCAGCACATACTACTAACCAATTTATTCACACTATGGTACTCTGGAAAATTTACAGTAAAATATCTGAGGGGCATCGCATAAAAACTGCACCAGCCAGGAATTTGATTATGAGAACTTCAATGGACAGTATTTTAGTTGTTTGATAAACTGTAAGCATGGAAATTTTTACGCTGGGTTATTCTTATTTATTTTGTGATAACTTTCCATGGGGCAATTATTTTTAGAGAGCAGCAATATTGAAGTAAAGAGCGATCTTATGGTTTGATGCATGAATTCAACCCAAAGGCGAAGAATTTATGCATTGAAATCCTGAAGATATCCTCTTTACAGTCCTAAACTTGAGAAATTTATGAACAGAAGTATTTACATACAAAAGCCAAGAATACCAAATAAAACCAAAACTATTAGAAAAGAATTACATATAACTACGTGTACATATTATTCTGATTATACTACCACCTTTACAAACTATAGAAACAGGATATTGTATGATTAACTAATACATATGTTAGTTCTACGTGTAAAAACTGGTGAGAATAGCAAATGTAAAGGAACTAAAACAGCATACACTAATTTGACAACAACTCCAGTCTAGCAATCTGAACCGCTATTACTCTGTGTAACATCAGAGCTATTCCCTGAGCCTGATAAAAAATATAAAACAAAATCTAGTTCTTGACTGGTATTCTAATATTAAATACAACAATTCGTGCAAAGCAAAGACCAAAATATTAGTAAATTGTAACATTTTAAGGTAAAAGCTTCAAGTTAATTTTTTGCTCATCTTCCTTAAGAGTTATTGAAATGTTAATATCTCTGCAAGTTTTTGTCAATTCAATAGCAACTAGAGAAAATAAGCTGCATTTTTAATGTAAAATCTTAAAACAAACAGCAATAAACTGTCGGGACAATTAACACCTAATTCAGATTTCTATTGTAAAAGTTTAGATTTTCCCCGATTTAACCTAAAACCACTTAGTAATATTAACAGGTGTGCAAGCAGAAGCATTAACAAGATATAACATTTTCTTTTAATTTACTTGGGAAAAATAGAATGCCCTGGGCTGTCTGCTGTAAAATTGTAAAATAACATTTTAATGAGACATGAATATAGATATTCCCTGCATTGTACTAGATGGACACACTGAATTAGGTTTTAAAAAGTCCTAGTTCAGTTAGTTACAGTCTGTAGGAGGACATATCTACTCGGACCAGTATTTGCTCTTATTCCTAAATGCACTAATCTTGTAAGTTGAGAAGCAGCAGCAAATGCCAGTTTTAAAGTCTTTGGTTTGACCCAGGATGGGGATCAAAACCATGATCTCCAACAGTCTAGGTAAGCATGCAACCAAAAAACCACTGAGATGAATGCAAGGTTACTGAAAAACACTTGAACATAATCATAACAGTATGATAATGAGGTAGGGTACAGAAATTCTGACTATCTGACATGATTGGTTTAATTCATAATTTTATTGCATGCACTATTTGCGAACAGTGGTATTTAGATATAGAGGTTCTTACAACAAGAATATTACCGGTAATTATTTTTAACCTCCCCCATTGAAAAGGCAAGGTTTTTCTATTTACCAAGCTCTGAGGTTAACAATTTTTTGGTTTTATTCACAGAGTTTGCAAAGGTGCTGGACAGTTCACAGGACATTTGGTACTGTGAACAATTATTACTTACAAGCCAAATTAGAAATTCACCTATCATTAACATATATAATTTGGTCTCATACAAATACAATTTTTATCAGGCCAGCAAGTTGTACTGGTTTTGACTGTCAGTCTCATGTCCTTTGCAAACTCTGCAATTTATATATTACATTAAGATCAAATGGAATTTTTTTTATCTAAAAAGACAGAGAAAATTACAAAAGCAACTTCTGACTAATGACATCAAAAAAAGAAATAAAAACTGAAGTAAAAAGGAAAATGGAAAAAAAAAAAACTTAAAAAAATCAAATGAATGAAAAAAGAAATAAGCAGATATTTACCATTCTTGACTTGAATTTGTGCATGGTTACTTGCCGATTTTTGGGATCTGAAAATAGAAGCAAAAAGTTAATATTGCAAATTAAAGGAATAAGTGTAAAATATTACATACAAGATGCTATAAGAACAAAACTATTTCAGACGTAAATCAAATTCTATCAAAACTCTCTTTTAATGCTAAACCAATAATAATGTTCATTCAATCATTTGATGCATATCTAATTTCTAGACTTTAGTCATCCTAATTTCAATATATTCATTCATAGTTCAAAAGCAACATTTGACTCTATTTTTTTTTTACTTTTGTGTAAATACATCATCCATTTAATATCCAATACAAAGTGCTAAAATGATTGTTCTGTTTTAGACTATTCAAGAGATGTGTACTTGTTGAAATTCAGTTCATTAATTAACATGTGAATTATGCAAAACTTTCAAAGTCAAAAAACCATAACCTTAGTTGCAGGGCAAAATCTTTTCATGGAAATGGGATATGGCCTATACAACAGCATATATAAAATTTTATTCATTGACTTGTCATCAGTGGTTGCCCTTAAACTGACCTAATCAATGAACCATAACTGAGGGAAAGGGCCATATAAAATCCATATATGAGGGTGTGTAACATTTGAACAGATTTGGGGATTAAGAAACATTGACTTACATTTGCTCGTTAAAAAGATATTACATTTGTGTGACTTTAACCAATAGATCTACCTGTATATTTACCATGTTTGAAAATGCAACTCACTGTTAAGTCGTATTGTATATTTTATACTGAGCAAATATCCATTCAATATGTAAGTGTCATTTGGACATTAGTACATTTATGATTGAACCAGAACTAGAACTATCACTAAAAAATAAAGGGAAGACATATTGTAAGGCGAAACTTAGAACTGATGAACATTATACAACCGTTATGTCTGGGACTTATGCTAAATAAAGACATTTGACGAGTACTCTTGGCAGGGACGAAACATTTTGTAAAGGCATATTTACCCGTAAATCACTATTTTTAAATCAGCACAAAGGTAATGATATTTCTCGCTCAAAGGTAATGATATTTCTTGCACAAATGTAATGCACTGTATATGAGATCTGCTAATGCTAATACAACTGCATAAAAATTAATCACAGTTAAACTTCAACATTTGAACTATGCTAAAATTTTAAAGTCAATAGTCATTAATGATGGGGCAGGGTCTTATAATATCCATATGAGATGTGCTTATGCTAATACAACGGAGTACCAAATATCATTAATTTACCTTTAGTGGTTCCCCTTAAACTGCCCTAATCACAAACTTTTACATATTGTTGAAGAAGCCTCTACTGGAAACAACACACCTATATCTCACCTCTTCAACTTCATAGACGCAAGACAAAAATTGCAGAAATTAAGCGAAGACAAAGAAAGCGCATATATATTCAAAATTGAACAAAAGTTGATCGAGTTCAATTGCCTGTTATTTTCAAAGGAATGAAAATCCTGACAAAATTCGCTTTCCCTCTGCCAAAATCACTAATAGTGTAATTATCATAACATGGCTCTAGATATTTTAATATCTTGCATAGAAAATGTCACAATCAGCTACAGTAGAAAAAATTAAATCAGTAAATTTTTTTTTAACTTGTTCTTAAAAGTTATTGCTAGATTTCTGCAATAATACATTCATTTACACATGAAATATTAAGGAAGTAATATGAAATATATAATTGCTTCCTATGGCAAAAATTACTAATAATTGAAGAGGTTTCAAAAACTCCTTATTTCTTTTGTTTTTATTAGAAATCAATTCAAAAATATTTCAAACACAATTTTCTGATACAGAACTTAAAACAATAGCACAACACCAGACATTTGACATTCAAGCAAAATGCAATTTTCCACTCTTTTTGCCCCCAAATACGACAAGTAAATATCAATAAGTTTTGAAACATTTATAATATTATATATATACTACATTCAAAAGCTATATTTACAACAACTATATTTTCTAAGTACAACATTAAATGCAACAACACTGTTACAGTATTTCTGCTCACCTACAAAATAGTAAGAAAATATGATAAAAGCCACAATTGCCATTTTTTTTAAATCGTTTTCAGCCATAAATCTGAGATCAACAAATTGTTATACTCGGCATCTGGAGTACAACTGAAATATCGATCGCAGTTTTGAGTGCAAAGTTAATGACAACATCAATTAGCGACAAAAGAAGAGAAAAAGTAAAAAATAAATTGAGCCAAAAACCTTACCAAATTCCTCAAGAACAAATATGCCTCCTTTCTGTGTGAAACATTTCTTGATACGACCTAGCTCAATAAACAACTGAAATAAAAATATTGAAAGCAACTTAGCTATGGAGTTTGGTTATTGACACATTAAGCTCGTGTTGGTGGAATTGACAGTAATCCACGAAAAAACACAATTTTTAGATTCTCATTCCGTTATGATATATGATACTTCCTCAGTCTACTGTTTTTTAAAATTGAGAATCTAAAAATGTGTTTTACACTCGTCACTAAGTTTAGTTTGAATTTGGAAACACTGCTGATTTCATAGTATGGAATTGGTAAGGAAAAATAAAGTCATGAGTCAGAAATTGGCTATACATAAAAATGAAACAGAAATAAAAACGTGCTACATGAGAAAAATAGGGAAGGCTAGCACATTGCAACATAACAACACTAAACAGCAAATAAAAGACAAAAAGACACAACATTTGCACAAGTATGCAGATCTCTTATTACTTCATTAATGAAATTCATACAAATTGTGAAATGTTTTCTTTCATTTAATTAATGACAAAAACCAAGATGTTTATCAAATCTTGACTATACATCTCTTGATCAATAAAAAGTAATAATTGAGTAAACTTTAAAGAAAACGTTAATTGTGCAATAATGAGATCTACAAACTTTATATCTATATATTTACACATTTACACACTACAATTACCTCAAAATCCTGAATTCCCAAAGGAGTTAGCAAAAGGAAAGAGAAGTTAAATGTTAACACCATCACCACAACAAATACAGCAACACCAGGCAGCAAAATAGAAAATACTCTAAAATATTGTTAATCAGTCAATTCTGTAATGACAACAGCTTACCGTTTATATACAAACTTTCTTAACTGCTTCAAGGGCCTTTTGAAATAATTATAATTCAATTCATTGATATAAAGTATAATGTCGGGTCTCACACAAGTGAAACTGTTTGGAATGTATTTTAAAAATTCACTGAACTTTCCTGCTTACTCATATAAAAATCTAATTTCATCCTGGCTAGAGAAAATGGAATTAAACTAAAAGTATTAAGAACATAAAAAAAACGACATAATTTACTTTCTACAGGAGAAAATTATACAGGTTATATGCAGGGGGAAATGAAGGAAACAAGATAGAACGTTTATACCGTTTTAGTGATTAAGTAGGTTAATCACATGAATATTGAGTAAAATTCATTCAATTTTCATGCAGGACAATCTATCAGTTGACAAGTATTCATGTTACCTATATGCAGGTGAATTGGACGTAATTCCAGAAAAAGGGATATATTTTTTGGAGACGATTTTATGCTAAAAAATGATATATTTTTCAATCAAAAGAGGGCTGTTCCGTATGCCCTCTACACCCCAACCCTTTCTGAATTTGCCGCTGATATGTATGATCAAACATTAGAAATGACTTCTGTAATGCTTTAAGTTGGCATGAAAGTACATGTCCTTAATCTTAATGTAATGATAGAAATACTAATACAGGACAGGGTTAGAAACATCGGAAGGGTGTTGTATGCAAGGATTTTGCTTCTTGTAATATAGCTCTGTTTCAGATATTTTCCATGACTAATACTTTTGCCTTGATATTATGAAAAGTACAGCGTTTTTGTTTTTTTTACCCAATGTAAATAAAATTTTAAGAAAAGACAAACTGCTGAATTGCTATAGCTTTAATACTTCAAAGAGTGAACATATTTCACTTATGTTGCATTAAAACATATGGAAATATGTGTTTTAAAAAAAAATTAATTATAACGAAAATGTTATTCACAGTGCTAGTCTTATCTTTAATTCATAAAGAACTGAAAGTCATGTTTCTCCAAAGTTCATGCTCTGCTTTCTTTCAGTTTTGATTATACTGGATTTAATCAAGAGTTTCACAGTCCCTAAAAATTAGCGAAATATACATAAGAATATATATTTAACATTCCAAAATTTGTAATATAATTTAATTTTGCTTCTGTGGTGTTATATATGGGATGAGGAAATACAGCAAGATACACACTAAGACATAAAGCAATCATGCAACATTCAACACTCAAAAGCCAATCCCAATAAATTACAACATTTAAATCTAATGTTACCCCTTGGTCTGTTTTCTTTAAAATTGCATTAAATTTTGTCTGTGGGAATTTTGAAGAGAATTTAAGAAGAAATCATGAATAATATAATCAGTTACTAATAATGATGTTTTTTTACTTTCTATTTGAAACAATTTGTACAAATAAATAACGCAATGCAAATAATATAATGATAAACTAAATAGGTAAAAGTACATGCGGCATAGTAATGTAATTCTCATATTTATCAAAAGCACTCAACATGCATGTAAAAGTACACTTGGGGGAAAAAATAAGAAAGATAAATAATAAAACTAAAATCCTTACTAGTCGTTCATTTTGTCATTTTCTTAAACTTCCATTTTTTTTTTCAAAATTAGAAGAAAGTGGGCCATGTAGCAGGTTTCTAAATTTCTGTAAAGATTTTTGTGTTGCCTGATAAATGTTGTTTACATGAGCAAACATGATTCAGAAGTCCATTTTTATCATGTGCTTACACATTTCTTTATAATAACCATCTTTCTCAATTTTAGTATAAACGATTTAAACATATAGAAACACCTACTGAAGTATATAAATAATGTACATTCAAATGTATGCCAATTCAGTGCAGATCATTTTTTCAATAAACTGTGCTTTAAAATGATTTCTTAACAAATGGCATTGCCATAGAAAATACATTAACTTGACAGATGAAAACCAAAATTATTAACTAAGTATCAAGGCTTTATTTTCTAATTCATGCAAGTGTGTGCTTCAAACCAGCAGTATCCAAACCTGGTGTAATATTAGTGTAGAAACTGCACTCTTAATATATAATTCAAGCAATGCACACAAGATACCAGTGTATACCTCAGATAACCGTAGGCCACTATATATTTTTTTGGTTCATGTCAAAATCAAAATTAAATTGATGGGGTTGTCAGTTTTGAACCCAATGTATATTTTTTTTCACCAAATCAACAAGAATATCTTAAACTACTTTACATTTTTAATCAAATGGTTTACAGGTTTTATTTTAACAGAAAACTTAACTAAGTTTGTTCCTGTAATAACCCTTATTATGAAAATTTTTTTACAACATTTTCTTATTCTCACTTTTTACCATATTCTAAATGATCTTTTGGAATGGATTCAAAGTAACCTACACCAAACTAGCAGTCGTTTTAATAATGTAATTTTTCATTCAAGGTAGAATTTCAAAATATACAAGAAACTGTTTATAAAATGACATTGCACAAACAAATATATTTTCATGTGGCCAATAAAGCCTATCCATGTTATTATGTACATATTCCTACTTTCTAAAGCATTCAATCTAACATATTGGTATATCTCATTATGCAATTATTACTCAACTTGCATTTTTCATTATTTGCATGCTTCTAAACTATTTTTGGTAAAATAAAAATAAAATTACAAATGAAGTTGATATTTTTACTTATTTTTTTTTCTTTGAATCTTGGGAATTAAATAAAGAGTCAAAAACTGATTTTTTTTCAACAATGTCAGATGGACTCTGTTAAAAGAATACTATTTTGGAAACTGAAATTCCATACTTAGCAAAAAGTGACTGGATACAAGGTGGGTGTATATAAGGCAAATATCTTTTAAAATAAATGAAATAACCAAAATTTAAAAGAAATGGGGATCATATTGCTGTCCTCCATTGACAGTATTAAAGTGGTACTAGATTTTTGGCTGAAATATAAATATCAGCATTTCATCTCCTTAAATGCAACTGATAGATGTATGAATTTGACCCATCAGTTATTAATCAACATAATAATTGAAAAATGCTTTTATAAGCTTTCGCATTCATAGTCAGAAGTTATCTAAATCTAGAGTTCAAAATTTAAACCCTCTTTAATTTATCCTATGAGTGTTAACTGTCCTAAAATTAAAGACAATTTTGATTTCAACACATTAGAGATAAATTTTCAAAAATCTTTTTTTACAATTTTTTTCAACCAAATTTCCTTTCATCTTTTAACTATCAAATCCAGGAAATGCAATTATTTGTGGACAAATCTTTAACCATTTGTCAACATTAAATTAATGATCACTACCATAATGGAAATGATTAATTGTACAAACGAGAAAGATTGCATGCTTTATTGAAGGCCTGTCTTGCAAATTATAATTATCCGAGGTGATATGTGAGTTGCACTGCAAAATATATATGTTATATCATCACTCAGTGCACACTAGATCAACACACAAAAGGCTCTAGTCTACAAATAGACAATTCACACAAAGAGGGTTATCTCCCTTCATTTCCCTAAATATTTCTTTGAAATAGTGAAATTATTTTTTTCAAAGCAAACATACTGAAGAGAAAATTCTGAAAAATGATGTAAGGGAGATAACTCTATGAGGTATTTTGGTGACTTTATGGGAAGAGTCCATAATTGTGATTCCTACCTTGCTATTGGCCAGTAATAATCCAATCCCTTCCATACAGACTTGGAGGAGTCCACCTTGTCCAGACTTCAAATCTTGCACAGGGAATTCTCCACCAAGTTCAGTTGCTGAAAAGTTGTTTCACAATTAAAGAACAGATGCTTAACTACATTGTTGTTTCAGTTATTTTTAAAAGACTAATTTTTAGTGTCTGATGTTTAAACCTTAATTTGAAAAAATACAGAAAGTCTGTCATAGTGGTCAAGTAGTCAGATTTCTTTTCATTTGAAAATACATTAGATAACATAGTACAAACATTCAATAACTATTCCTTATATCATTGTAGTAATTAAACCATTTTTTAAGACGTTTCAGCCACTGGTCTTCTTCAGTTTCTTTACTCTCCTTCTTAACTACAAGTTGGACTATTATAATTTTGAAGCAAAACTATTCCATAGATGTTTGAAAGGATTGTTGTCTCATGTAATCACGTCATCTGACTTTTATAGTTACATATATATTTTGTGGCAGACTAACTTCAGACAGAGAGGTAACGATTGCTTCACTATTAGTTTATAATCTTACCTGGAACTTTGCCATTATTCCTAGCTGCAGCTTTTTCCATAGCTTCTTTAACACAGAAATATAGTTCTCGACACTGGAACAAAATGAGTTGATATCAGGTAAATGTAAGCTTTCTTCAGTTTGTGAATTTAGAAGTGGAATGTTAACTGGCATCTCTTTGTTTCAAAAATGATGTAGTTTATACACGATGAAATTTTAAGCAAGATCAAGTTTGAATTATTTAACTTATTGAAAGTTAATTTATATTTTTAATTTTTCACAATTAATAAACTCAAAATTGCTAATATAAATAGACTTATGTACCATGCTGAAAGCTTCTCAAAAGATGTTAATTACTGTGAAAGTAAGTACTTATCTAATTGTTTAATATTTGTTTCAACTTGAATGTGCACAGTGGTATCATTTTTTTTCAGTCATTACTTTTTCATGGTAAAATTTAATGAAAATTTGCTACACAAACTGTATGTCAGTCATTTTTCAATTAATCCATTTGAAAAAAGAACTATTTGGCGACATTTCAATCACCATATACACTAGTAAAGCTTAGGAAAATTGATCTTATTTTCTCACCTTAGTTATCAAAGTCATTTACGATATGAATAAAAGGATATGTGAGGTATATACACGAGGGGAGGGGGGGGTCTCAACATGGGATTTTGGGTACAGTTGTGCAGCTGGGATTTAAAAAACACCCCCCATTCATATATTGAATAATTGTGAAATCCCTACCTATACATATATTTCACAGCAAAATCATAACCCATTCATATATTTATCATAACAAATAGTACCTATATGCATATACAATCTTATCATATATTAAAAACACTTTTCAATTATATAATATATTTCAATTTATATGAAATATTAACTTTTCAAACAATAACAAGTAAAAACATTGTTTTGAAGGTGCAATACCACAAAAACATAGGACTTCACATCTGGTTATAATATCACAATTGGTCAATTACTACCTATTGATATATTTCCTCGGTAAAATTGCACCCCATTGATATATTTGACGTATCAAAAAAGGGACCCATTCCAGCGGCACATATGTAAATACCTTCATATAGGAAGAGACCCCCCCGTGGGTATATATAAGTTAGACAAGCAACCTAACAACACAAAAAACCAACATATATCTAAAGTTGAATATAAGGTCTTTAACAATAGACAAGGGTCTATACAATGATCATAAAAAGTGAATAAATTGAACAGGGGCTGGTGACAATGAGTAATGTTTGGCATCTAATTATATCATATTTGTGCCAAACATTCCATTATTTCATTTCTTCTATGACATACTGTATAAAAATAAGTTGTGGTATGATTGACAAAGAGACAACTATATATTTAAATCCAAGATGTAGATGTAAGCAACTATAGGTCACCATATGACCCTCAACTATGAGGAAAACCAATACTGTATAGTCAGCTGTAAAGGGCTCAAACATGACAAACTTTGAAACAATTCAAATGAGAAAACCAACTGCCTGATTTAGGACAGACTAACAGAAAACAGATATGACAGACAGCAACCAATGACTGCCATTGAACTACAGGCTCCTGACTTGGGCCAGGTACATGAAGAATATGGCAGTGTTAAACATGTTTGTAATTGTATAATCTTACCTTTTTAGTATAAAACTGATTGAGTTGCACTTTTTCGCCATGTTTTCTCCACAGACACAGCACCTTAGTTTTAGGACAATAAGTCATATTAACCAGCTTCTCATACCACCATCTATCACATATTGCACTTGTCACACTTCGTAAAATAATACAATCATCACAAACCTAAAATAAAGCACAAACTTATATATGGAAAATGTAGTTAATTAAGTGAGAGTTTACTTATTTTGCTGGGAAAATGTATATTCAACATATACATTTTGTGTTGTAATGGAGAAATCAAATCATATGGCCTAATAGACTTGCTATAAAGCACTGGTGCATTCCTTACAGAGAATAGAATATACTGGACTTTTTATTTCAGAAGAAAATTGTCTATCCCAATTGATGGATTTAGATTACATTTACTCCAGAAAATTTTGTTATCTTATATCATTTTACACTGCCCAATCAATTTTGTGATAGTGTACGTCATTTGTACATATATATATTATGGATTAAAATCTATTTCAGAAGAACCAAAAACCCTGCTGTTTATGACTTGTAAACAAACCTCCATAAATAACATATCTCCTGTGTTATCTGTACCCCAGTGTACAGTAAATGATTGTTTCTGCATAAATCTACTACCAACTGGTTTAAGATCTATATCATTACCATGCTGTAATGTATAGTCACATTATTAAATTAAACAGAAAGAACAATATTTTTTACCACCAGCTGAAAAGAAATTCAATATTAAGGAATACATATCACCAAAAATTGATTAGAGATCTGATTGTGCATTTGCATCTTGCGTGAAATGATATTTCTCCACTCTCCCCATCTAAATGTACTTTAAACTGTTCTCTATATTTTGATTAAAAAACATCTCAGTCGTGGAATCTTTAAAGATTCATCATTAAGTGTATATTATGTATTACAGTAATATCTCTTTATCAAGGTTTTTTTTATCACTATTTTTTATATTTATCTTTTTCTTATATTTTCCCCCTAACATTACATAAGAACTCCTAAGAAAAATGCAATATACTGTATATCTGTAACACAAGTGATTCTTCAACTGTCTCAGTGTTCATGGAATGTAAACTACACATTCACATTTTTAGTACCAGCTTAATTCATTAAACAAATTCAAATTAAACCTTTTCATGGGCAACTTTTATATATATACATCATTAAATATATTTTGAAACTACTTACCAGATTTGGTATATTATCTAACAAGAAGTTGATTTCTGAACTATATGACAATCCAATATGAGACTTGCCGAGTAACCTTCGTACTTTCTTGCGTATTTCTTGTTTATGAACCCGCATCATTACCATAAATGCAACAATGTTATAAAGTATCACAGACATTAATCTATCTTCATCTTGCTCCAAACGTTTCCTTTCCGATTGACCCAGGGAAGTATACCTATAAATACATATCAAATTATACATTATTTAAATAAATACAAAAATTTATAATATACTTTTCATTAAATATATATGAGAAATATCATTTGACAAGCAATATTTAGAACTAAACATTAAGTATCGTTAAAAGGCTTGTATAGTCCGCGGTTTTATTCTCCAAAATTGACCCTGACAGCAGGGGTGCGGACTATAGAGTACAATAAGCAAGAAATAAGAGAGAAAATTTCAATTTCGCGATGTGGTTTGTTTACGTTCCGCCATGTTTGTTATTGACATTGTAGAGGGCGCTTTTACCATTTTTCAAACCAATAATTTTACCCAATCCATATTAATAAGTTATTTTTATTCAATATCAAATTAATACTGAAAAATTTAAAAATTAAATGCTTCATTACAAAATTCTCGTTTCTTTTCAATGCATTGCTAAATATAAACTGGTATCTGCTTGAATGAAATCGTACAAAAAAAGTAAAAAAAGACAACCCTAAACCAGCTTACGATGTGTAAACTACAAAACATAATCGGTTATTATTCGTTCCGTTTTGGTGTTTCCTATTGACAAATATGTTTTGTATTAGCTTAAGACCCTTCAAACATTAATGTGATAGATATATTAAACACTGTTTTACATAAGGAGGGAACTGTTTTACTTTCAAAGTCGTATTATAGTGATATCTATTATGTACGGATTTCGACTCTCACCAGGTTTTTTCATCTTTTACACGTGCTTTTCAAACTTCCGGTTTAAACATACACAAGTTTCTAAATTGTTTTTTGTGTGATTTAGACTTATTTTAACCAGCGTGAAGTGTTTTAGAACCATTTACAAGCAGTTTCAGCTTCTGTTTGGTGATGGAAAATAGGTTTTTCCAAGAAAATACCGCAAACGACCACACACAATTTAAAATTACCGGAGTTTCATTAGACCTTTTCTAACAGTTACAAAAAGTTTTTTTACCTGAAATTTCGTGGGGAGAAGGGGGTGCGGACTATGTACCAGTGCGAATAATACAAGCCCGATTACGGTAATCAACAATCAATCAATCACTTCACAAGCTGATAGAAATATTAAATTTCATAATTTCTATTTCTAATGGATGAAAATTACATTTGAAACATTACTACTCACAGTTTATTGATTTATTTTGTTCTTGAGAATATTGTTAAAGCACTGTATATTATAAGAATTCCTTAGGAAAGGTAAACATGTTATAAGGCCATATGACTAGACATACTAACCAATTAGGGGAAGAACTGTAAACACTAGTAAAATATAATTACGTTGTATGATTAATTGATTGATTTTTGGTGTTTAATGCCACTTTCAGCACTACTGGCAATATTGTTGGGGTAAGTTTTTATAGTGGAGGTTTCAGGAGTAAAATAGAGTGCCTGGAGAGAACCAAGATTCGGAGAGAGTTTAGATAAATTCTAATAAGGGATTTAAGAGAAGCGGATACAATCATGTACTGATGTGTGCCGATATGACCAAGTTAAAGTCATGCCAAAGTAAACTCCAAAAATCATTTAGATGAGGAAATGAAATATGAGGTGTAAAAGTACATCAGGTCAGCAAAATTTGATGAAGGTTTCACAAAACTCTGTTGAATGGTTCAGAAGCAGTTGCAGAAACAAAAGTTGGATTGAAGGATGAAAGAACATAAGGATGAACAGGTAAAAGGACAGACTCCCCAATCACTATATATACCACCCACCTCAGAATGCAAGGTATATAAAGAAATGACATTATTAATTAGACCTATGAATATTCTACTCACCTTTCCATCATTTCTCCTGGTCCCTGGTCCATGCCTATAATATCCCTCTCCTGTGCTACAGCATCTAAATAGGCATCTTCCCAAAACTGCATCTGATCCCATAATCTTGACCTGTCTTTACCTGCAAGGTAATACCCAAAAATTCTTATGTCCTCAATTCTGGTAAAAAATATCAAGTATCATTATTAGTTATCATCAACTTAATTCAAGCATATTCATCCCTCCCACATCAATGCATGTCTTGTTAAAGAAATAACCTAATTTTTGTATTCGGATTTATTTTACATATATATCTATAACTTCAAAATTCTTGACTTACATTATATACTTCCTTACCTAGTAAACCCTCAAAGAGGAACATCCTACCAGTATCAGGACTATAAGGTACAGGTGAGGTACTGATGACTTTACCCTCGTGATATCTGAACCCTGCACTAAGGGAGCTTTTATTACTCCACACACTGGGTGATCTACTTCTCTTATTATAAGTAACAATCTGCAAAAAATAACAAATATATATAAGCACTGTTTTCCATTTAAGCAATATATAAATTGTGGAATTCAATTAATTTTATATTTATCATCTCTTACTATGAAACATTTTTATGTGCCATACACATTTACTAATAAAACTGAAAAATGTAGCAGAGATGACAAGAATTTAAAAATATTTTGTCTGATGGGTATGTATTTTTGTATCCTTTAAAAGTATTAAATACCAGGTTGGTTTTTTGGGGGCAAATTTGTTTAATGCATTTACTTCTAAGGCCAGAGCAGTTACTTACAATATGGAAAAGTTGAAAATGTTAGCAGTCATTTTTTTAATTTTAATTCTAAAGAAATCTGATATTGTCACAAATTTAAACCAAGAAAGTTTTCATTTCTAAACACCAAACAGAAAGCTAAGATATTGTTTAATTACAAATATTCCTATCAATATTTAAAGATATACAGAAACCTATTTATCAGCACTTTCTCTGATTTTATCTAGAGGTACGAGAATGGATAGGATACAAACCCCAGACATTTCCATTTCACTGTCAGACATAGCCCCTCTGATAGAATGGTGGTTGATCCTCTTTTTTGTTCTTCGTCCACTGTCAGTCCCGTCGGTTTCAGAACTGGAACTAATCAACGTATTGGCTTCGGACACTTCAGAATCAATACTACACCTCTTGTCCAACCCTTGCGAAGAGTTTATAATTTCTTTATTTCTGACGATATGATGTAGTACATCAGTAGGAGATTTTAAGTCCGATGTGTCAGTTTTAGTCACAATAATATCACACTGTTGTCTTACAGATAATGATTTTGGTGTATTTCGGTTTTGATCAACAAACTGTTTGTTTGAGTCCAATGAACTACCTTCATCAATTTTTCGTATTTCGATATTTTCAAATTCTTCACCATTAACAATAACTGGTGACCCTGTAAACGACATGAAATAAATTTATATAATTTTTTTTATTTTGACTAAATATATCATTCAACAGTCAGTGATAGTAGCTCAAAATGTACATGTATTATTAACATGCTATCAGCCAATTACCATTTTCTCACTTACCAGGTCATAGGTTAAATCTCGGGAGCAAAAAGGATATTTTAAACTAAACATTAAATCTTGATTTTCATGAGTTTTTCCTTCAGTAAAGTTTATTGCAAGAAGCTACATTTTTCTTAAGTAAATGGATTTCTAAACTGTATGACTACTAAAAAAAAAAAAAATCTGAGGTACTGTTTTTTTTTTAATAAAATCTCTGAATTTCACATTACATATAGATTCTACCACTGCATCGAGTGTGATACGATATTTATCCACTCGAGACAGTTAAATTTTCAAATTTAAAATGCGAGGCTCGCCGAGCGTTTTAAATATTTAAAATTTAACTGTCGAGAGTGGATAAATATCGTATTACACGAGATTTGGTGGTGGAATCTGTTTCTCTAATGATTTTCAAACAATACACAGGCAAATTTATTCCTTCTTTTCGAATGATCTGCAAAAAGATGTGTTCTTTCTATGTGACGTCATCAGGCATGGTCGCCTTTTTTCATGCCGTCACAATAGGAAATTCAGAGGAAAGCAAGAAAATTCGACGTCATAATCGGATTTTAACCAATGAAGAACTGAGATCAAACGAACCACACGTTGATTAAATTTTTTTATACAATGGGTACAGAAAGGGATAAATTGACGAAGAATTAGAGAAAAAGTATTATCATGCTAGCATATGGCAGGATAAATTGCAAAACATTAAAACTAATAATAGTACAATTATTCCCATCTAACGTCATCTCACAAAAGCTTTTTATGGAAGTTATGATGCTGGAAATTTTGTGAGAAATAACCTTTTCAACATAAAAATTCACAAACTAAAATCATATAAAATCACATTCACATGGCTTATGTAATACTTAAATAATATTTTTTAATTAACTGTTCATACTTGTATAATAACTAAATACTGTTAATTCAGAAATCATTGTTTGTATTTATTATTGCAATTTTTGAAGAATGGATACAAATGTGAGATCATCATGTATTGCAATTTCAGGAAAATCTGCATACAGATAGAAGTATCAGATATCATAATGCGAGTTCTTATTATTGCGATAGTCACCTTGTAGCATTATAAGCATTAATGAAAACTTCGCAATAATTTCTGCATTTACAGTAGTTAATTCTAACAATTTCATTTCGATATTACTTTTTCTCTTCATGCACTTGATTAAAATCAAATAGGGCTACATTTAAATAACTTAGGATGCCTGGTTTACTCAATCTTGCATGCATTCGTCAAATCAATATATTTCATGCATGCACAAGTCAAGTTGTTTCAAATAAGTTTTAGTATGCCTAAATATGACAGAAAATCAAAGAAAAACTGCAGAACTAAAGTCAGAAAGATAGTACAAGTTGTAGATCTAGAGTGTATAAGATCAATCTGAATAAAACTCAGATCCTGTGTCCAAGCTTTGTTTACCAGGATCTGACAACACTCTGTTCTATTTTCTTTTCTGGTAATCATTTCATCAGCTAATGAAATTTTTGCCTTCCAATCTTTAAAGGTGTGTATCATCCTGACAAAACCTTAAGATCTCGAAAAGTCTTTAAAACAGAAAGTAGAACAGGGCGTTGTCTCGGGTCCTTGTAAACGAAACGTGGAGGATCTGTATTTCGTTTAAATTGAGAGAGATCATATGTATTTGGAGAAGCTAGATCAAAGCAGTTCTAACACTGCTCATACTAATACAGATGTTAAATAAAGCATGTATAATCATTTATCTATGTTAAAGCTAAGTACTCATGGCAAACTGATCAAGCCTTTGGGAAATAACTATATCTCAGGTTTGTGAAATAACAATATCTCAGGTTTGTGAAATAACTATATCCCAGGTTTGTGAAATGACTATATCTCAGGTTTGTGAAATTCAGCTATGGTCAGATTACTGGATATCATGCACGAGTAAACAACAGATATAAAACTCCTAACTACCTAACATAAGGAGTATATAAGATGCACTATTTCGTGTGTGTCTGGAATATAACACTGCCATCCTATGTATATCTAGATGGCAAATCCAGGATGATCTCATCATATTGTTATGATATAAAATATAGACTCGTTCATATAAAGAGGTATGCTTCACATTTTTATCGAAAAAAATTTCATATTCACATGAATTTAAAAAGACGTCTCAAATGGTTATTTATAGAATGTTGTGTTAGCATTAATTATGCAATAGTTGCACAGGTAACTGACATGGTGCAAGACCATTTGTTTTCGAAACAAACCATGAATTTTACTATTTTTAATAAAACACTATTAGACCCCTTCTGCTATAACAGAAAGGAGAAGACAAAATTAGAATTGTTTATGCACAGAATGTAGGAAATTATGACTAAGGTTCTCTGTTGCAATAATAGTTTTGCCGAAGTTGACTAGAAAGGGCTTTTGCAGACTTTTATTACTATCAATAATGTTTTCACTGCTTATAAATCATTTCTGGATGATATTAATTTGATTAAAATCTGAACCTTACAAAAATGTATAAATCTTCATCGACAAACAATATACCAAATGCAGGAAATGTAATATTCTTTCCTAAACTAAATCTATCAAGAGGATCAAAAGATAAAATAGAAGAGTTTTAAGTGATTTGATATGAAACACTCCTGGATCTACCGTAGTGTTGATGACACAGTGCATACACCCACCACATCAAATACTTGCCTGAATCAGTGCTATTACACGAAGTGATCGACAAATCAGAATGTTGGGAGGACGTTGGGTGGTGGTCCAACCACCAACCCTTGTTACTACCAAGATAAGCTTCACCTCGCCCTGTCAACCAATGAAAAGTATTCTAATTGCTTGTCAAAATTTCTATTTATATACACTTCCTGGCTGTGCATTATGTTATGGAACATTTAATATCTCTTGAATAAATCTTCTCTGGTAAACATGCAATCAACAAAATTTAGATTGTAGTTTCTAATCAAGGAAATTAGGTAAACACTTCCAATATCAGTGGGAAATATTGTTGGTTGTGAGGGAGATTTACTGATATAAGGGACAGATTCTGGATGGAATAAGGTTCATTAAATATGTTTAATATGAAAAAAACTATATTCAAAGCAATAATGGTTAAAATTTGTAAGAAAAGGATCAAGCTTTTTTCCAGGTTAACAAAACAAATGACAACATGTTACATCACAGTACATAAGCAAAATAATAAGGACTCATTAATTCTCAGTCAGTTTCACTAGACAGTGAAGAAATTATTTTCCGGGTTAAATACATAAATTCAAGAACATTAATGTTCCTGTAAAATTAAACAAAACTCAAGATACAAATTTATCACTTACAAGAAACATAAAGGACAAGGCTTTACCGTGCCCTGTAATTGTTCAAATCTTTGTCTGTTGGTCTTAAAATTGATAGTTGTCTTGTTGGCAATTATATACCATCTCCTTATTTTTTAGATTAAAGTTAATTTACCATTTGAAAGATTTGTTTAAGTGTACACTGGAGGAGCTTGTATCTATATATATATAGCTAGTAATAACATTGAATAATTATAAAGTTTTAAAGTTTGTTTTTTTGTGTGTCTAATTTCTTTTAATGTTTCGAAATATATAGTGCTTAATTAATACATTTGTTGACATCAGGTCAATTTTATATTTTTTATAAAAGATAGTTAATATTACCCTTATTTTAAACTATAATCATGGGGCTTTTGTCAGGAGGGCCTATGTCCAAGGGGCTTTTATCCAGAGAGCTTACATTGGTGATTTGTTGTAGACCTACATTTAGTATACCTTATGTGTGTTGTTTCTCTGGAAATCTCTATTTATGTACCTTTCAAATCAAAATTTAACTGTCTTCAAGTTCAAAGTTTGAAAGGTCAGATATCACAAGACATGCCAACATTTATTCGGAACATTAAAAATACAATTGTGAATAAGCTGCTATTACAAACGACACTTGATAAATATAATATTCAGTTATTTGTTGTTTTAAAAACACACCTTAATAAATGAACCCTCTACATGCTAACCCACCACAATAATGGACAGTAAGTGCAAGCATATGAATATTAGTAAAAAGGTTTCATACCGACTGATGCAATGGAATGTTCATCATGCAAACTAGAAGTTTCCTGTTTTTGTGGAGAGTCGTCATTCCTGGAAGCTAAACTTTCATGACTTCCAAATGGAGAATTCATCTAGAACATGTAGGTTATGGTTAGTTCATTCAAATTCAATAACAAATTTACACCATTCAATTCTTGTTTTGTTTGGTAAGAATGCATGCTATGATTATATACAGATTTAAAGGTATTTTAAATAACAGTGAGATTCTCGTGTGTTAAAAAGAACATTAATACTGTACATGCTAAGATTTTAATGACAAGAGCAACAATATTCATTTCAATACAATTTGTATGCTTCTTCGTATCTGCAGAGTGAAAGAAAGAATTTTGTCTCATGGATTATTTTTATTACAGTACCTGTATCTAGTCAACAAATCAACTCAATAGAAATTAACATGCAAATGGCAACATTTTCCCTCTATGCTTAAAACGTCTATTAGTATTAATATATTCAGTTGTAAAAATCAATTCCATAATTAGGTTCATTAACAAAGTGAAGACCCTTTCACCAAAACATTGTGAACAATAAAATTGTGTTAAATTTCAATGTTTTTGGTTTATACCTTTTCCAATTGACCTTGATCCACTTATCCTCAACATTATGCAACAACTTTGAGTTTCTTCAACTTCAAATATCTTTACAGTAAATATATATACATATTATTAGCAATGAATTGAATGAAACATTGACACTTTTGAACAATACATTTTTTTTCTCAAGTTTTCTATTTTGCATTAAGCTTACAGGATTAGTTCTCACTGCACATATTTGAAATTTTGCCACTTTTAAGTAAACCTCATATATCTTCTAGTAACACAAGGATAGGATACACTACAACTCTTGTGGATTTTTCCATTTGCCATCAATCCATGGGCAGTTCAATTCTGCCAACTGACATTAAACCATAGATTTAGTCATAAATATTGAATTAAAAAAGGTTAATAATTGTTCCTATGTAAAGAAGGTACAATTCTTAAGATAAAAGGAATGGCTAATCCAATCTAAATGATGGGCACATGGAACTTTCTAGAAGTTTGCCCAATCTGTGTTTACTCCCACTGTGGACAGATGAAAATGACACATCCACATAAGCTGTAGTAATTAATAATAGTGGATATTTTTTTGCTTGTTGTAATTATCAATGATTACAAGTAACCTACATCTGGTGTAACACTAGTATCACTGCGACTACTGGAAGGCAATTTTCCTGTAGCGTCCTTTATCCAGAAGTGGGTGTGGTTGATCTCTAATAACATGAAAGCACTGGCCATTCCTCCTAGCCCATGATTCTGGTAAGTGTGCTCTAGACCGTGAATTAAAGCTTTTATCAGGGTTAGCATTCCTTTAAATACTGTCTTTGACAAACTCTGCAAAAAAAAAATAACACAATAGATTCACAGTCAAATATACATACATACATACACAGAATAAGCATGAGATTGAACTAGAACAACTGCATTATTATCTTTCAACTAATTAAAATACAGATAGACTGAATTGTCTACTGATACCTTATTTTCAAAGGCCATACAAAGAAAGATAGCTTCTGACTTCCTTTTCCCCATCACTTTTTTTCTTCTTTTTCTTCAATGAATTTTGGTAACTGTAAATTCAGAAATTATTGCGTCCATTTATTATTTTGTAGAAAGGACTAAAATGCAAGATTAATTATTGCGATTTCAGGAAATTCTGCATACAGTTATATAGTTATATGTATCAGATATAAAATGCGAGTTCTTATTATTGCGATACTCATTAAGTCGCACTATTTGCAATAATAAAAACCTCGCAATAATTTCTGAACTTACAGTATAAAATTGTATATGTCATGACAACTGATTACAAATATTTCCCAAAACATAATTATCTTGTTTTATTGTGTTATATATTAATCACAAGTTGACAATAAAGATTTGAATCGAATTGAGTTGATGTATTTACAGATTTCTGTTACTTTTCTCTTGTACAAATATATTCCTAATAACTTAAATAGATAATTTCATAATAAGTTTCAATACCACATCTTCTATGTGTTGAGTTTCATCATTTAATTTCTTATCCAAGTTTTTGTTTATTCTGCTAACAACAAAATTACGATAGTTCTCATCCTCCATCAATCTTCGGACACGACCTAGTTTTAACCAGCTGACACCTTGTCCTTCCATTACATTTGTGACAATCTCTTTCAAAAACTGCTGATTTTCACTGCAAAAGAAATAATTTTTTTATGTCATGTTGTATAATATATACAAAACTTTTCATCTACTTTGAAACACATGCATGTGCACTATCGATAAAAAGACTTTTTAGATACAGCATATTTGTAAATATTACATAGTGATATAATCCTTAATATTTCAGAATCATTGTTTATGCATGCATATTTATATAATGAATAATACACAATGCAGTTGATCCAACAAATTAAGAAGACAGATTGTCTTATCTATATACATGCAAGAGCTTTTCCAGAAATAAATGTATGGAGGGATATGGAAGGCACTGTTCATTCAACCCTGCCATGCAGAGAATTTTAATCGAATATTTCATATAATTAATTGTTAAGGCTATCCATCTAAAATAACCACCACCCATCAAATTTTAATAAAAGTGCCTTCCGACCCCTCCTATTCAATTAGTTCTGGAAAAGCCCTAAGAGAATTCTTTGAAATTTCGCTTTTAATTATCTAATTTAATATCTATTTATTGATAAGCTTTTCTATATTTATTTGCAGACTTTATATAAATCATCATTGTCATGAACAGTACCTATTTGTAGCAGATCTACCATCACTTCCACTCGCTTTCTGAGATTCTTTTGGTTTTCTTGGATTAGTTGCATGTTTAACTAAGCCTGATTTCTCTACCAAAGCTTTTCTGTTTCCTGAAACATTCAAATATTCGTTTATATCATTTTAATTATATATGCATCAATATTAGACTTCATAAATTTTATAATTAATTAAATTTCAACTTGAAATGTTTTTGCTAGGCAATACAAGTTGGGAATTAATTCTAGAAACAGATTGTGTTTTGTACATGTTATCATTTTGCAATACAAAGAACATCCCTACAAAATCATAAAACAGATGACCTTTAACTTTCACCTCTCTTCAATGGAAAATTTGTTGAAGATAAGGAGTTAATGGAAATCTTGCACATTTAATTTGTTACAAACATGAATGCAAAACAGATTGACAAATGCCTTTAATTTTGTTTGGACAGAAGAATAAACGTCATGTATTCCTATACACTGGATATTGCCTTGAAGTCCATTATTCATCGCAACAGGAAAATCACTCAACAGGAATTCATTTTACTGTACCATATATTTCTGTGTTGTAAGGTAAATTACTACTTCTGCCTAATGCAATCTTTATTAATCTACTGTTAAACAGAATGTTTAGTTAGTGCCAGAATAGTAATATCCAGTGTACCAAGATATAGAATAATTCAGGCAGGTGATAAATTTCAATGGTCCCTATGTTTACCTTTCAATGATTTATTCAAATTAGATTAATTTTAAGCAAAACTATCACTATTTGATTATTTGTATTACCTAAAGGTGCAAAAGGCTTAACTGGTTTGGCATGATGATGTTGTGGACTTCTTGTTGACCCTACAAGATAAATTGTACAACATACATCAAATTTAATCATTCTTGAAATTGATTTGATATGCTTTCTAAATCAGTTAATCAAACAGATTAAAAACATTATTGCTTAATAAGACATAAGTTTATGAAAATCATGAGAACAAACAATTGTTAAGTTTGAACAAATACATAAAATGATTTTTCTTTCAATATAAAACATTTACCAGTAAAGGGTAACAATTCTTAAATATCTAGTCAATTTTTTACAAAAGATGTATTAGTTTTTCGATTTGATTTTACCATGTTTTTACATGAGATATATACAAAAAGAAAGTAATGAGAACAAAGAAAAAAATCCCAAGACCATAAAAAATGTTTGAACATTTTACAATGAACAAAAATTTAGGATGGAACTGAAATAAAAAGTTGTTGGAAAAGGAAATTTGATGCTTTAGTTTTAATATATAAATTGTATGATATTGACGATTCCCTATATTTCCAAGCAAAATCACAAACAGTACCATCTGACATCATGAATGCCTTGAAAACAAAACTAAGGATTCACCAGTAAAAAGCTGCTTAAATATATATTTCAAACATGCAAGTATAAATTTCTCCCAAAATGGTTGAAAACCACAAGTGTTAATTTACCAGGGTCTGATCTCTGTTCAAGGATCTCATCATCCGATTCTATTGTTTCTATATAAACAAAATAACTATATTCTGAAGAACTATACAAGAATTTATTTTGAATAAGATTGTTCAAAATTTAGATTTAGATCAACACATATTTCATATACAAAGGTGCAAGTTTGATATCTTAACACTAATATTTCTCTTATAAAAAATTTGTAAGGGTTCCACGGAACCCAGTGTCTCGCCTACTTTTGCTGTTAATCGCAGGCTCAACAAAAATGAGATGAGGAAAAAATTTAATAAAAATATTCCTCTCAATACAATTTTTTTATTGTAAGCAGCTTCTGTCCAAGTTTGGTAAAAATCCAGGATAGTTTATGAATCTTAATAAATATTTTTAAAAATTTAACTGCAGACTGAATGTAATGTTAACTGGAAGAAAAACTAAGTCCATTTATAAGTAAAATATGGATAAACAAGTACAAAATTTTAATAAAAATTTCCTTCTAGATACTAGCTTTTGATCATAAACAAGCATCTGGCCATGTTTGGTACAAATCCAGGATAGTTTCAGAAAGTTATTAAAATTTTAAAAACTTTAACCACAGAGTGAATGTAATGTTTCCTGGCAGAAAAACTAAGTCCATTTATAAGTAAAATACGGGAAAACAGGATTTTTTTTTTAAAATTTACTTCTGGATACTATCTTATGATCATAATCAAGCATCTGGCCAAGTTTGGTAGAAATCCAGGATAGTTTGAGAAAGTTATTAAAATTTTAAAAACTTTAACCACAGAGTGAATGTAATGTTTCCTGGCAGAAAAACTAAGTCCATTTATAAGTAAAATACGGAAAAACAGGATTTTTTTTTTTACAAAATTAACTTCTGGATACTATCTTATGATCATAAACAAGCATCTGGCCATGTTTGGAACAAATCCAGGATAGTTTGAGAAAGTTATTAAAATTTTAAAAACTTTAACCACAGAGTGAATGTAATGTTTCCTGGCAGAAAAACTAAGTCCATTTATAAGTAAAATACGGAAAAACAGGAATTTTTTTTTTACAAAATTCTTATGATCATAAACAAGCTTCTGTCCAAGCTTGGTAGAAATACAGGATAGTTTTAGAAAGTTATTAAAATTTCAAAAACTTTAACCACAGAGTGAATATTTGTGGACGACGCCGCCGCCGCCGATGACGACGGAATGTAGGATGGCTATGTCTCGCTTTTTCTACAAAAGTCGAAGGCTCGACAAAAATGAGGAGATGTGGTATGATTGCCAATGAGACAACTATCCACCAAAGTTCAAATGAAGTTGATGTAAACACAATTATAGGCAACTGTACAGCCTGGTCATCAATGAAATAATTGAAAAAGAGCATCAATCAATAATCAGTTCCTGCTCTAGGGCTTTACACATTTATTATGATGAGCTTTTTAACACTGAATTTGTACACCTGTACATTTTATTTTCTTTATATATTTCTTGAAAATACAAAACTCGGATAGGAATATTTATAATTTTTAACTATTGAACTGTACATCAGTTACCAAGAAATGTCTGTTAAATCTGAAGATTCAGTTTAAATTCTGATCAGAGACAGTTCTGTCTCATAATCACTCAATCCAAATATACTTAATTATTGGTCATTTTAGTTATTAGGAAGAGAGATGGTTAAGGCGAGATTGTTAACAAAGAGATTATTCACTGGATTCCTACATGTTAAAATTACTACTTTTGGCCTCAGATCCAGTAAATTACTGTACACTGTTTACTATGATTCAACCCATGTATCACTCCTAAAGTTTACTGGATCCCCCTTTTTCAAAATTCCCCCTTGGAAAATGTTTTATTATATTTACTAGAGGCTGTGAATCTTACAGACCACATAAGATCAGTAAGATAAGGTGCTGTTAACTCTCACAGCAATGTGTAAGTGGACTACTGCAATGTGTTAGTGGACTACTGATTAGTTAATAGATCACACAGTTTATTTCTAATCACACAAACAAAGCTGTTTGCGTTAAAATGTGTCAGTCACTACGTCTTTCTTTTAAATTGATAATACCTGGTTCAGTTATCTCTTCAATAGTCTCACATTTTGGTGAGAATGAAAATTTGTCTGTCAAAAAATAGTTTCAAATCAATAATTACAATAAGAAATTTTGCTAATTACCATGTGAACTTTTAATATAATCTAAATTCTGAATACTATCCTTTTTTGCATAGTGATTTTGTTTTTAACTTTGTTGGTATATTTCTACAAGAAATATGTCTAAGTTTGATATATTCCCTATGATTTATATTTGCTAAATTTTCTGTTCGTAAAAAATAAATGGCTCGCCAAAATTAGTTGGTTTAAAGTATAAGCAAATGAGAAAATTTGGACGGAACACACTTTTTAACATCATATGAATGAATGTAATTACTTCAGGTTGATTTAAAGAGACTAGAAAAGATTAAAATTTTGTTAAAATTATGTAAATCAATATTCAGAAAATATTTTAATTCTACTACAATGTTTTGTTGTGGAGGTAATTTTCTAAAGTTATAACAAAAAGTCACTAAATGTCAATAGTACGAAAGGAAATATGATAAATTTCTATTGTGTAAATTAAGAATGAGTGAATTGTTGGTAATGAGTGAATCTTACCAAATAACTCTGACATTGTACTGCTTGCTGATTGAGCCATGTCTGTGAGTTCATTACTGATTGTTGATATCAATGATGAAGGTGTTGAGCCTCGTTCTGGTACTTCTCTGTCTCCGGGAACTGACTGAAAATAGAATTAAACATATATTTTACAATTCCGTTTGGCTAGAATACCTTCTAAACTATTTCCTATATGTAAGAATTTGTTCAGTGGAATAAATCATCCTTCTAAATAATACATTAGAACAAATGCAATATATATTCATTTCCAAATATTTTTTTGGCATATGCTTGTCTATTTTTGTTGTTTAGATTTTCTATGAAATGCATATTAAATTTATTTTTGTCATGCTGCATGTATTTTTCATTGTTTGTCATCATATTCATTGATATCAAAAGGACGCTTCCAGCGGAAAGAATAAGAATGGAGATGGTGACTTTTAAATTCATTGTATAATGAATATTCCAACCCAAAATAAACACCCCAGTTTTGCAATAATTTGTTTTTTATCAACTTTTATACTGAATACAGCTAAGCTGGTAGAAAAAATTTAGTGCTAAACAAGAATGTGTCCATAGTACATGGATGCCCCACTCACACTATCATTTTCTATGTTCAATGGACCATGAAATTGAGGTCAAAACTCTAATTTGACATTAAAATTAGAAAGAGCATACTAAAGGGAACATGTGTACTAAGTTTCAATTTGATAGGACTTCAACTTCATCAAAAACTACCTTGACCAAAAACTTTAACCTGCCCATTCGCACTATCATTTTCTGGACCGTGAAATTGGGGTCAAAACTCTAATTTGGCATTAAAACTAGAAGGATCATATCATAGGGAACATGTGTACTAAGTTTCAAGTTGATTAGACTTCAACTTCATCAAAAACTACCTTGACCAAAAACTTTAACATGAAGAGGGACAGACAGACGAACGAACGGATAGACGAACGAACAGACGCACAGACCGAAAAACATAATGCCCCTCGACGGGGCATAAAAAACATCTATCTGTTATTCAATTACCCTTGATCCACCACTGTTTTTACGAATCCTTGGGTCCGTGTTACTATTACTCCTTATCCTTGGAGACTGTGGACTCATCAAACCTGGTGAATTTCTTCCCTTTCTTATTGTTGGTGATAATGGTTTTTCATAAGCTTCAAATGCTGAGTTAATGCTCCTGGTTAATGGCGCTAAAGGTGGAGGACGTTTTGGTAACTCTGGAGTACTGTTGTTTGATCCAATACTATCAGAGTGTGTCAAATTTGAACTGAAATAAAATAAATACAGGTGAGATTTAAAGTTTACTATTTTTAAAAGCAAAAACAAATAAAATAAAGCTGTTCACAACGTGAAAAGTTGATTTTTAAAAAATTGTCTTCTGGTCTTTTGACGATGAAAGACCTTATCTTATTTGATATTTTAAAATTTTTGATTGATAATTTTCTTCCTTATGTGCATAATGAAATCACATGCAAATAATCAAATATTACTATAATCTTGTAATCTGTATGGACGGTTGGAGAAGTGTTAAATAGCACTGAAGCAAATAATGATGGTCAAATCAGATTTGAATATGCAACAAACATAAAGGAATATTCTTATTCATCAAATGTTATGTACAATGCACAGCATATCAGAATCCATAGAACCAGAAACAACTTCAAATTGTTATGATCTTGCAAAAATGTCTTCAGAAGGGTTAAAGCACTAAAATAATTTAAATATCAAACTAATACATTATTATTACTTGATTTATTTCACTTGACTGGGCAGAGTTTAACCCGTTCGCTCAGGTGTTTTGGGATAAACTCATCAATGAAGTGTCCAGTTATGGTCATTGATCCGGTTAAAATATGTAAACACTATATGTGTATTCACAACATAAATAATGAGACACAGCCGTTGATTTTCTTGTAAAGCGGAGTTTAAAAACATGTAAAAATTGTAACATTTTGGAATTTGTGGATATGAAAGTAAAACTATGACGACAGGAGTTGCAAAATATGCATATGTCGTTATTCTATTACGTTTTGAAATATTTTTTTCTTCCTTATATTCTAAATGCATTTTTTGGGGGGGATGGTACACGGGTGTCGTGAAATTTTGCCTCCGAGCGGTTTGAATACTTTAAGAAAAGAATCTGATGGCAATTTATTCACGAAATCAAAGTACAAAATCAATATAATTTATTCACATGGATATAATACGAATATTTAAGAAATAAATCAGTACAGCTCACAAAATAAAACAATTAACCTGTGTGTCAGTGAATTTTGCCCAACCCGGTATTAAATATTAATTACATATAAATAACAGAAACAACAATTTTAGCTTAGGACAAATCCCCAGACTCTAAAATAATTTTCAATGTAAAACACCTAGATTCCATTATTTCCAAGTCGCGAACTTCATCGCTTTATGACTTAAAAATATATAAGAATATAGGCAATAATTATTTACTAAAAATATTAACCTTATATTAATTCTTTATCCAATATATATTTAACCCAAATTCTAAAAAGGTGAGGAGCTCAAAGTTTCACGTCCGAGCTCTGGGCAATCTAAACTTTGCTTACCGTTTTGTTTTTCCTCTGTTGATTGACAACGTAAATCACGCCCCGTTTCCCGCTATGCAAATTGTTTCGCGGAATTAATAGCCGTGAAAACAAAGTAAAACAATAATAAGGTCTTTAAGTTTCATCATAGAATATTACCTTATCATGCAATTCAGAAATAATTATATACTACTTTACAATGAGCACATACATTCTAATAATAAAAAGTCAAGAGATTAATGTTTCCAAAGAACTATAACTCTAGCGCAAGAGTTCAAGATGTAGATTGGCGGAATTTTCAACACGAACATGAAACTATGTAAATTGAGTGATAAATATCCCTTTAAAGTAAGTTTCAAGAATACACCTAAGTTCCACTTTATTTCGTTTATCATGTCAGTTAAAGAGAACCCGATCAAACTAGTTTAAGTGATTAATATTGTGCAAATTCCCCATAAATGAAAAGACTCGCATCAATTTTACAACAACAGGGATAAGTTGCAAAAATAAATGATCATATTTAAGGAAGGGAAAATAGGGTTAAAATATTTTACTTTTTATAAATAATTTTTATAAATCACATTTAAAGTAAATCTCACAATCAGAAAGGTTTCAAATAGAATAATGCAATAACTGGTACTTTAAAATACTCTCCTTTAGCACATATAAATGCTATAAATCTTAAACTATTTTATTCCTCCCATATTGTACACTCAGTTCTTTTGTATATATGTTTGGTGACACTGATAGAAATCAGTAATAATAATTATAATGGCAATCATCCTTATCACACACATCTTCGAATAGACTGCCCTTATGCAAATTTAAACGTAAGCTCCGCCCGGTCAGTTGAAAACACATTGCTAATACATGTTTATATATTTCTCGAATTCTGAACTGATTTATACTTTACTTAAAAAGTAGATTTTTTTTTTTCAATCTATGTGTGGTTCACTTGATTTCAGCAGTTCTTCATTTGGTCAAAATTAAATGATGGTGTCAAATTTTTTTGCTATCCTGATTTCCCTATTTGACTTACTTATAAAAGATGAATGTGTCTATGGAACACAGATGCCCATACTTGTAAATATGCAAAGAGTCAATGTACTAATTCTTTTGAGTGTGGAAATGAAAGGTTTGGTCAGTATAGTGTGGACAAAAGAAAATTTTCCAGTTAAAAAGAGGCAAAACTCAAAAACAGTCAAAGTGATAGATTGCACAAAACAATTTTTCCATTTATAAAGCAACATATTAACTGGAGAACGATAAAAGTGACACCTCCTAAATCTGAACTTGATCTGTGTTTGGTGGTAATAAGCATTGTTTATAAGTTTCCTAAGAATGGTTGTGGCAAAGTAAAGTTAGAGAGCTGAAACTGTAAATTCAGCAATGTTTCCATTTATAAAGGGACATAACTCCAGAACGGTATTGAAACCACCCAAATTCGAACTTGATCTGAGTCTGGTGGTAATAAGCATTGTGTATAAGTTTCAAAACATCTGATTGATGCAAACTAAAGTTAGAGAACAGAAACCAATTTCTGGACGTACAAAGGGACAAGGGTAACCCTTAATGCTCCCTTCGACTGGCGGAGGGGGCATTAAATAGGCATACATGCTATATGATGTCTCAAGAAAGAACATAATCTTTGAACAGATCATTGAAAAAGCTATGCAATTTAAAATATGTCTCAAGGGAAAAATTATTGTATCACAGTGGTAGAATCTATATTTACATATACATTACCTGTTTAAAGATCTGCTAGTCGCTGAGACATTTCCTGAATCAAATATGAATTCTGATTTCTGAAACAAAAATGAAATTCAAATCAAGTTCTATAAAAACAAATTAACTCTTAGTGTAAACATTAATCAGGTTCAGTATCTGGGAATAGGACTTAACACAAAAACTTAAATTTGATAACATAATGAGAGTCAACATTTTCCAAGGTTTATATTTTTAATTATAAGGATGGCTGATACCTAAAATGTATATATACACAGTGCATTAGTAAATGATTAGTTAATAACCAAACCAAAGAATTATGTCAAGGTCAGGTGAACATTGTCTGACGGACTTGTATACCTTGCAATGATTCTTTATACCTTTATATAAGAGCTGTCCTTTAACTCATAATAACTGAAAAAACTTATGTGATAAAAAAACTACTGTCAAACCTGTATTAAGCAGTCACTCATGGGAAGTATAACTAGAGGCTCTCAAGAGCCTGTGTCGCTCACCTGTATTTACTGATGCTTTGGAAATCATGTAAAATAAGGTTAAAATCATAATTAATAGTATTAGATATTAGATATTAAAATGATATCTAAGATAATAACAAAAAACTGCAAAATTTTTGTAAAAAATTACTAACTCAGGGGCAGCAACCCAACAACGAGTTGTCGGATTCGTCTGAAAATTTCAGGGCAGATAAATCTAAATCTGATGAACATTTTTGCCACCTGTCAGATTTGCTCTAAATGCTTTAGTTTCAGAGATATAATCCAAAAACTGCATTTTACCCCTATGTTCTATTTTTAACCGTCGGCCATGATGGTTCAAAGGCGGGGTCATCGGACAAATTTTTTAAACTAGATACCCTAATAATGATTATGGCCAAGTATGGTTAAATTTGTCTCAGTAGTTTCAGAGAAGAAGATTTGTGTAAAAGATTACAAAAATTTACAAAAAATTGTTAAAAATTGGCTATTAAGGGCAATAACTTCTAAAGGGGTCAACTGACAATTTTGGTCATGACAACTTATTTGTAGATCTTACTTTGCTGAACATTATTGCTGTTTACAGTTTATCTCTATCTATAATAATATTCAAGATAATAACCAAAAACTGCAAAATTTCCTTAAAATTACCAATTCAGGGGCAGCAACCCAACAAAAGGTTGTCAGATTTGTCTGAAAATTTTTAGAGCAGATAGATCTTGACCTGATAATCAGTTTTACACTATGTCAGATTTACTCTAAATGCTTTGGTTTCAGAGATATAAGCCAAAATCTACATTTTCCCCTTATTTTCTATTTTTAGCCATGGCGGCCATCTTGGTTGGTTGGTGGGGTCATCGGACACATTTTTTAAACTAGATACCCGAATGATGATTGTGGCCAAGTTTGGTTAAATTTGGCCCTGTGGTTTCAGAGGAGAAGATTTTTGTTAAAAGCTAACGACGACGACGACGACGACGGACGCCAAGTGATGAGAAAAGCTCACTTGGCCCTTCGGGCCAGGTGAGCTAAAAAGTAACCATGTAAGACAGCTGACTGCTGAAAAGAGTTAATATAGGGAAAACTTTTGGGAGGGTCCTGAAGTGACCGTTATAGGCAGGTGTCAACTGAAAGGAGGCGACCGCGTAGGCAGGTTTGACTGTATACAGTTTATGATATACCAAATATGAATTATCAAGGTCTTCTACAGCTTCACAAAAAAAAAGTTACTTAGTATTAGCCTGATTAGCATTTGTCTTACTTTCTGCAACATTCTTCGCAGGTGAGAATATAAAATGGTTCTTCAAAATTGATAAACATACATACCTTGTCTACCTTATTAGGTGTACTTTTCGCTGAGCTTTGATCAGGAATATCCTGAGCAAATGTTGGACTCCCTGACCTAGATTCTGATTCAGAACTACTGACATCACTTTCTGGTAGAGAATTAGCTGAATCACTGGTAGTTATAGGTGTTTCTGGAAGCTGAAGTTTGTTTGGTGGTGTGTAGATCTTGGATTCATCCACTGACAGAACTTGCTTTTCTAGAACTAAAGCTGAAATGTCAAAATTTTGCAAAAAGCCTCTTGAACAAACTAAATTAACTTTTTTTTTTTTTTTAGAAAAAACAAAAAGATCAGAGAATTTGTCTCTTGGATGTACATGTATATCTTTGTATTCGGTACTATTGTGCAATAATTTACTCAGCTCTATTAAATATACATTTCTTATTATGGTACATAATATGAATATCAATCAATTCGTCAGAGAACAGTGACCTACAGGTGCTTAATTCCACGTCATTTGGACTCTGAGTTTTCTCCTTGGCAATCATACCACATCTACTTATTTCATATTCTCCAACATTTCAACCTGTTTCATTTGGTGAGGACTTTAATTTGAACCCCAATGGTAGATGGAATAAGCAAAATACCCAGGTAAGGTAGGTTCTGATAGGAACCAAGCAGAAAAGTGTATCAAATTATTTGTTTTCTATTCACCTGGTGTATCACCATCAATCTCACTGTTGACCATATCTGTAACAAAATCGCTGAGAGAAGAATAGGATGAGCTGGTACTATCTGCTCCATCACTGTCACTACCACTTTCATCTGTAAAATATTCAATGATTTCATCATTCTCATAGACTTACTTGTGGATTCTTTATTATTAGTCGGATACCAATTTTCATGGATTTCAATGGTACAGATAAACCGTGTATTTAAATGTTTAATGGTACAGATAAACCGTGAATTTAAACGTTTAATGGTACAGATAAACCGTGAATTTAAATGTTCCATGGTACAGATAAACCGTGAATTTAAACGTTTAATGGTACAGATAAACCGTGAATTTAAATGTTCCATGGTACAGATAAACCGTGAATTTAAACGTTTAATGGTACAGATAAACCGTGAATTTAAATGTTCAATGGAACAGATAAACCGTGAATTTAAATGTTCAATGAAGTAGAAATTTTCTATAGGATTGTATAAAACTTTGGCAAAATCATGAAATCAAATATCCACAAAACTACAGTTTTTCCTCAATCTAAATAAACTGGTATCCACAAAAAAATTGTTTATCAGATGCTTCCAAGTTTTTTAATAGTGTAGTTTGCTTTGAATTCTCGATATCTATACAAAGGTTAGCAAATAATTTGAAATCTATTTAATGATTACTTTGTTTAGGTACCTCTTAAATCATCCTAAATGATATGATACAAGATAAAAGAAATAATCATAAACACAAATCTTTTTATTTGATTTATGAGGAAGTTTATTTCCGAAAAATAATATATATGTATATGCAGTTAGAACTATTTTTTAAAATCTGATATAAGTGGGTTCCCAATGATGATTCACTAGTATATACTTTACAGCATTTTATAATAAACTGCTTCGCTGAGCGCAGCTGGATACGCCCGCAGAGGTCCAACCCTGAACAGTTGGGGCAAAAATGGACACAATATTCAAGCTTGATACAGGTCTGAATTTGGATTGTGATTAAATATTTGACATATTACAGGTTTCTGAATAAATGTAGTCAAAGAACTTGAAATTGGTTATATGAATTGAATTTATATTCAATTAAAGATTTCTTGCTGTTGTGCAATACACTGTGCTGTTGCGCAAAACTTAGTAAATCTGTTGTCAGACTATAAACAAATAAAGTTCAATTAGTTCTCAATATCATATTAGAAATTTATGAAAATCAAAAGGGAGCTTACATGAATAGATATAAACAATTCACCAAAGTTTCATGAGAATTGCTGACAGCATTTTTGAGTTATTGTCCCAAAACTGGAAAATCCCCACTTTTTTAATGAATAAAACCCCACAACTCAGAAATGTAAAATGTAAAATTAATAAAATTCTAAAGGGAGCTTACATCAATAGATATAAACAATTCACCAAAGTTTCATCAGAACTGCTGAAAGCATTTTTGAGTTTTTGTCCGAAAACTGGAAAATCCCCCCTTTTTTTTTTAATAAAACCCTGTAACTCAGAAACGTAAAATCTAAAATTTATAAAAATCAAAAGGGAGCACATGTCAATAGATATAAACAATTCACCACAATTTCTTGCAAGTTGGTGGAAGCATTCTTGAGTTATTGTCCAAAAACTGGAAAATCCCCCTTTTTTTAATGAATAAAACCCCATAACTCGGAAACATAAAATCTAAAATTTATAAAAAACGAAAGGGAGTTCACGTCAATATTTATAAACAATTCACCAAAGTTTTATGCAAATTAGTAAAAGCGTTTTTGAGTTAATGTCCGACATGTTGACGACGGACGGACAGACGGACAGACGGACGGACGGACAGACGGACGGACGGACGGACGGACAGACGGACGGACGGACGGACAGACGGACAGAGGTATACCATAATACGTCCCGTAAACGGGCGTATAAAAAGGTGATATCCTATTTATCAAATATAGCTACAACTCCTCATGAACATTTTACATAGAAAAGCCTTCAAATCTTTATATGCCAGAAAGAAAAAAAATGTATAATTCTTCTCACACAGATGAAAATGTATTAACAATACCTGTTGGATATTCATCACTCAATGTTTCCCCAGTTGTTGTTGACAGAGCAGACCCTAGAGTTGACGATTCATCATACACCTTAAACTCAATAGCCTGCAACTGATGGGCATACCACTTAGGTTTGTCGCCAATCAACAGTGGGTCGAACACTGATGTCTGTACACGTAGGAATACTACATTCTTTGGACATAGTGACCATTCAGCAAAATACTCTGTAGCCTGTAAAAGAGTGAAAATATATATTTTAGTTTGAAGTTCTCAAAATAACTTCTCATTTGAAGACCCACATTGCATTAGTTATATAGAAGTCTCAATAAATAATGATTTTTACAATTACATTACTGGTATGCATATATATATTAAATTTAATTTAATTCAATGTGTTTTTTGTCTGTATTCCTTATTTTACTTTACAATTCAGATTAAACGCTGTTCCAGTAAAACATACATGGGACACAGGGAAGGCACTATGAAATCTAAACTATGGGTGGGTGTCAAGCAGTGTTCCAGCTAGGATTTCAAAAGGACAGGGAGCCAATCATGAAAAGGGCACTTTGGCACGCTGATTGATAATTCAAAAAGGGCATGTCAAACATTGTCTTTTATTATGTAAACAGCAGGGTTTCAGCTAGGATTTTGAGGGCTTTAGTCACTTTTGCGTGAGATGAAAATCAACCTTATTTTGGGTGCCAGTAAGGGACCAAGGACGTATATTACTAGCTATACATATGCGTAAGTCCTTCAAGAACCAGGATCTGTGAAGGCATGCTACAAATGTAGGCAGTTATTGCATGATTTGACTGATGTGATGCTTAAATATAAAGATTAGAACAAGGATCAGGAAATCTAGTTCACAAATTCACTTCAGTTATTTTCAGGGGACATTCCTGTTCAACAAAAGTTGGGTTCCTCTTTTTTAAAGCCAGGAATCACAGCATAAATGAAATTGTAACGACAATTTCACTGCATAATCATTATCCCTGTAAAAACATTTAAATCGATATTTGGAATTCATTTTATAAACTTGGAATGAACGACAATAAAGACAACAACACCCATCAATTACCACATGGTGAAAAATTTAATGTGGTATTACCCAACCGCAGGATTACTACTTCAGGTGTTGGTTCACCATATTTAAATTCAAGTCAACTTGGAATGATTATAATGACTGTATATTCTAAATTTATCAAGAACGGGAAGAGTGTCTTTAAAAGGGCACAGGACATTAGTTGGGAAAGGGAGGGCGGACCACTCTGTGAAAACTATCAAGCTGGAACACTGTCAAGTACAGTGAAAATGTAAGCGAAAATTCTAAATTTACCTCCATAGGTAGTTACTCCACTTTGAAAGTGACCTCTCTCAGTGCCATGCATGTTTAAATGGAACAGCCCATATAACATATTTGGGAACTATGACAAGATTAAGTGAACAGCTACAAGGGTAGGCAGCATTTCTCAAAACAAGTTATTTATAAAAACAATAGCAGTACATATGACCTAAGTATTTGAGTTTCTACCAATCAAAGAATTGAACGTAACTTGACTTCAAACTTTAGCAAGCAAATTACTACAAGGTGAAAAGTAATTTTCAAATATTCTCTAGAGACCAACACATGGAGACAAATTACTAATACAATAGGAGTGATTGTAATTAAATCCTACAAACCCAATACGCATGGGTATATTTTGTTTGATGCAATATTTTATATCTGTATGTAACATCTAGAAGGTATTCAATCATCAGCAACTGCTGGCCATTAATATGATATCAATAAGAGGTTTAAATTGAAAATTACATAAGTAGGATTTAATCATTCCACATATTGGCAAATATACTTAAATTAATAAAGATACACCTGAGGTCCCTTTTAGATAATTAATATTAGAATGTCAATATTTTTATCAAATATAGAATCTTGGTAACTGACCAGGTAAAAATTCCCTTTTGAAAATTGCACATGCCATTTGAAGGCCACAAAATAGCAACAAACAAGTAAAAAATAAATTCATTTATTTTTAAAAGCACAAAAACACAGAATTAATCTCCAGAGTTGCAAATCAATCCTCTAGCAACCAATTGGTCAATGTTTCCAATGATTGGTGGTACAATAGCAGATGGCTTAAATGATGAAGTCTTTAAATAAATAATCAAGACATTCCATACATCTACCGGGTACTTAAGAATGGAAATCGACAGAAAATATTTTTATGAACAAGAAATGATTGTAACAGGATGCTGTTACGAAGTCTCCCAAACGAAGCTCCCATAATTCGTAATTCCCAGGGTCGCCTGACATTGGGCAACGTCCAGTAAAAATTGGTTTGGTCCAGTAAAGTTATATGCATTAGTGATGCCTGGGGACTAACCTTGTATATCATTCAAATCATCTTGGCATGACAAACCAGAATATATATGGTTTAGGGGTGGGGATCTCAACCATTTACAAGATACTAGAATATTGGGGGTGGGGAGGAACCCCTGGGGACTGGCCCTATACGTCATTCAAATGTTCATTACATGATGAACAGGAATATATATGGTTTAGGGGTGGGGATCTCAACCATTTACAAGATATTAGAACATTGGGGGTGGGGGGAACCCCTGGGGACTGACCGTATACGTCATTCAAATGTTCGAGACATGACAAATAGGAATATATATGGTTTAGGGGTGGGGATCTCAACCATTTACAAGATATTAGAACTTTCTCAAATGGCAGGGGGTCGGGATGACCCCTGGGGACTAACCCTGTCTATCATTCAAACCATCTTCGCATGACAAACCAGAATATATATGGTTTAGGGGTGGGGATCTTGACCACTTAGAAGATATTAGAACTTTCTTAAATGGCAGGAGGTGGGGGTTACCCCTGGAGACTAACCCTGTATTTCATTTGATGTGCTTTATCATGACAAACCAGAATATATATGGTTTAGGGGTGGGGATCTCGACCATTTACAAGATATTAGAACTTTCTCAAATGGCAAGGGGTGGGGGTGACCGCTGGGGACTAACCCTGTATAACATTTGATGTGCTTTATCATGACAAACCAGAATATATATGGTTTAGGGGTGGGGATCTCGACCATTTACAAGATATAAGAACTTTCTCAAATGGCAGGGGGTCGGGATGACCCCTGGGGACTTACCCTGTATATCATTCAAACCATCTCAGCATGACAAACCAGAATATATATGGTTTAGGGGTGGGGATCTTGACCACTTAGAAGATATTAGAACTTTCTTAAATGGCAGGGGGTGGGGGTGACCCCTGGAGACTAACCCTGTATTTCATTTGATGTGCTTTATCATGACAAACCAGAATATATATGGTTTAGGGGTGGGGATCTCGACCATTTACAAGATATTAGAACTTTCTCAAATGGCAAGGGGTGGGGGTGACCGCTGGGGACTAACCCTGTATAACATTTGATGTGCTTTATCATGACAAACCAGAATATATATGGTTTAGGGGTGGGGATCTTGACCATTTACAAGATATTAGAACTTTCTTAAATGGCAGGGGGTGGGGGTAACCCCTGGGGACTAACCCTGTATTTCATTTGATGTGCTGTATCATGACAAACCAGAATATATATGGTTTAGGGGTGGGGATCTCGACAATTTACAAGATATAAGAACTTTCTCAAATGGCAGGGGGTCGGGATGACCCCTGGGGACTAACCCTGTATATCATTCAAACAATCTTAGCATGACAAACCAGAATATATATGGTTTAGGGGTGGGGATCTTGACAACTTAGAAGATATTAGAACTTTCTTAAATGGCAGGGGGTGGGGGTGACCCCTGGGGACTAACCCTGTATTACATTTGATGTGCTTTATCATGACAAACCAGAATATATATGGTTTAGGGGTGGGGATCTCGACCATTTACAAGATATTAGAACTTTCTCAAATGACAGGGGGTGGGGATGACCCCTGGGGACTAACCCTGTATATCATTCAAACCATCTTAGCATGACAAACCAGAATATATATGGTTTAGGGGTGGGGATCTTGACCACTTACAAGGTATTAGAACTTTCTTAAATGGCAGGGGGTGGGGGTGACCCCTGGGGACTAACCCTGTATTTCATTTGATGGGCTTTATCATTTAGAACATTTTCAATTAAAAAGTTTGTGTCTATCACGAACGGTTTTCAATTTATAATCATTTGAAAATTTTAAAAAATAAAATCCCATAGGGTTCTATAGTAAAACCCTCTTTTCTTTTTGCCCCTCAAAGTACCCCTTTATAAACCCCATTGCAAAAACAAAACCCTGATTGCACCACTAGACATGTTAGTCTAACATATTGTGAAACCCTAAGTTAATCCGACAAGCGGTTTTGGAGAACGGGTGCGGACAAGTTCAAATTTAAAAGCGGCGGAAGAAGAAGAAGAAGAAGAATAATAATAATAATAAGAACTGAGCAAAAACAATAAGTCTTCCCAAACTTCGTTTGGGAGACTTAATAAAGACATACTGTAAACCTCCTGATTTGTTTTCATCTCTTTTCGAGTCTATTAGTAGGAAAATAACCGGAATGTGCTTAAATAAAGTTGGTTTACAGCATCTAATCAACTCTTTATCCCTTTAAATATAAATATTAATATAACATTGGCAATGAAACATCAGACCATCAACACTATTGAGAGTTAATCATACCTGTGTTCTTGCCATTCTGGCAATAAAATGGCTTCTTGCTGGACGAGATTTAAGAAAGCTGTACATCTGGAATGCTACCACTGGCCGAGGATAAAGTCGTAATGTTCTTGTATGTTCAGAAAAATTACCCAAAACATTTGCTGAGTTGAAGAATCTTATCTGGAATGGATGAAATATATAAGACATAACTGATTGTAAAAGTAAATGCTTTATTTCAAAAAGATTCTGATTTTGTTTATGTCCATTATACATGTTTTTTAAGGTGAGTATGATCGTCCTACAAGAGCTTTATGGAAAGATGTACTTAAAACATCTCAATAGATTGAAAACAATAATATTTTTTTTTAATTATACAAATACTGGGGTGCATCTTTTATCCAATCATTTGTTATTTTCATACAGTACATTCTGTTTTTGACTTAAATAACCATACTCATGATAATTATCTCATCTTTTCAAATTATATTTTCTGAATATAAATATGAATAAAGGAGATACCCCCAAACCATATTTAATGCTTTTCATGTAACATGCATTCAAAACTAACTTACCATGGCTACCCTTGTGGCCACATCAACTGAATCTACATCATTACCATAGATAAGTGGATTGAAGCCGGTCTGTGAAGAAAAACTCTCTCGTCTTTTCCATGTTTCAGGATTATGTGCAACTGTATCAAGATTTTTGATTGGTTGAGGTGTCATACTCATACTGGCCAAAGCCTATAGTGAAAGCATGAAATCAGTACATGTTTAGGATTAATAACAAACGGAGATTTTTTTCATGACTAACAGATAAATAAGCAGTACTGCTGCATGATAAACTAATGATATCTAAACTACATTTTTTTGTATTCTGGCTCTATTTCCTATGAACATGCTGGTAAATAAATAGACAAATGGTCATGAGTTTTTCTTTTCCTATATGTACGTTTCTTTTTTCCTTCATATTTCTTTTGCCCATGTCCACTTTGCTCCATTCTACTTCCTCTTGTCCATGCATTACTTTCAAAATTTTATTTTACAACCAAAATCATACAATCAATTTTCTTGGAAGAGGTTAATTATATTTCATTTATATAGGGAAAGTAAAGGTACCTGAAGCAAGCTGTTTCAACTGTCAGTGCAATGTTAATTGCAATACCTAACAAATATTTGAATGGATCTAGGTAAATTTATATAAACATGATAAAATTGATAGGTGGCAAGAAAATTAGTTAACACTTTAAGTTTATCTGACAAGTTGTAAGGAAATACGTTTAACATTTGTACAAGTTTGACTAACAAGTTGCATGGAAATAAGTAAACACTTGTACAGGTTTGTTTGACACAAAAATTATTCAATACTTGAACAAGTCTGTCTCACAAGTTGTAAAAGAAACTAATTTAAATGTAAATGGTTCTTGTATGTTATTTACAACAAAACAAACTATATTAAAAATTTTAACCATACTTAAACTCACTATTTTATGGTAGGAATAAACAAACAAAAATTGAATAAAAATTCTATTATAGAAATGTAAACACACTGGATACTATGTATAAGAAGAATGTAAATCATGTTAATGTTCTGCATTAGACATGTTAGAGTCAAACATTAATAAAAGTTAGTTTTTCTATAATTTATGTAAATGAGTTATATGTACATTTGTACTGATGTGTAAATGAGAAATATTTAATGTTGTCAGTAGACCAATAATAGTACCGCATGTGCACAGGTTATGTTCTAAGTGTATATAGCCATCTAAAGAAAGCCAATGGCAGGATTAGATAGAATATATTTAATGCAGATGGATGAATCTGTTTATAAATGTCTATAATACTTACACTATATTTTAACTGTTAAAATAAATACATGCATATTTATTTCAAGAAGTTACCCTCTCAAAATTTAACATTAAAAGGATTGGAGTTTTTGACTATCTGCCTTTACAATAGTATCACCAACAGAAATATGGATAGTTATGAATCAATCTAAGGAAAAAGTAAGTTTTTGCAGCAAGTAAATGGTGCACAAGAGGAAATGAATGACTGATTAATGGTATCCTAACGATGCATCATTGTAAAAAAATGGCAATATCATGTGAATAGCCCTTAGGAAATCAAAATTGTATGGTCAACTTTTTGTAAGTTTACTACTATAAAAAATCATTATTTCTAACAATGTCTGAATTAAAGGTGATTGTCCTCCTTTAACAATGAGGCATTGAACTTGCCAAGATATTGAATTATTGTAGAAGGACACAAATGATTTGACAGTCAGAAACAAGCAATATTTATTTCCAAGTAGTCTGACACCAGTATCACAGAAGTTTGACTGAGGAATTAGTCGCTATTTGAGAGATTGAATTTGAGACATGATGTTTGAAATAAATCTTATCATTACATGTATTTAGATACATTTTTGCTTTGTTCATGAGAATTCCAATAAAATGATCTGAAATTAAATCAAAATCTAATTTTTCTGCTGTCCATGAACTATAAGACCTCGCCATGTTTTCATTTTACTTTTCCATATTCAGAATAATGACATTAATTGAGTATTTTAAATGTATTATGGGAGATGTTACCTGTTTAAGATGATTTTTTAGTTGTGTTCCTTCTGGTTCAGGTAAGGGAGGTAGGTCTTCATTTTTTCCAATTGTCATCTGAAAAAGAAAATAAATGAAACATTCAGAACTGTTTTGTAACAAATAAAATACACAAGAGTGCATGTCTTGCCTGCTTTACTGATCACGATTGGATTATATATTGAAAGTTTTTAAAATACAGGTTTTACAACATACATCAAACAAGCATTCTGAGAGTATTGCATGGCATACAGAGTCTCCTACTGGTTAAAAATTCATTGTGTTGAAACAAAATGCTAACTTGATCTATAACTAAACTGTATAACAAATATCAAGTCAATATCTTCAAGCATGAGAAAAAAAAGTGTTGAAAACTGATTATTTAAGTGAATTTTCTAAGTCCAAGGACCATAACTCTGCACAAAATCATCACACCGGAACAAAATTAGAACTTGATCTGTAACTTGTCACGATAAAACTATATCCAATTATCAAATCAATATCTTCAAGCATGATGAAAAAAAAAAGTGCGGAAAACTGATTATTAGAGTGAATTTTCTAAGTCCAAGGACCATAACTCTGCACAAAATCATCAGACTGGAACAAAATTCGAATTTGATCTGTAACTTGTCATGATAGATCTATATACCAATTATAAAATCAATATCTTCAAGCATGACGAAAAAAAGTGTAAAAAAATGATTATTTGAGTGAATTTTCTATGTTCAAGGACCATAATTCTGCACAAAATCATCAGAAAGGAACAAAATTCAAACTTGATCTGTAACTTGTCATAATAAAACAATACACCAAATATCAAATCAATATCTGCAAGCATGAAGAAAAAATTCAAACTTGATCTGTATATTGTGGTAATAAGCATTGTGTATAAGATTCATAACATTTGGTTGAGGCAAACTTAATTTAGAGAACGGAAACGAAAAATTTAGCAATTTTTCCATTTGTAAAGGGGCATAACTCTAGAATGGAAAAAGTGACGCCACCAAAATTCAAACTTGATCTGTATTTAGTGGTAATAAGCATTGTGTATAAGTTTCATAACATTTGGTTGAGGCAAACTAAAGTTAGAGAACAGAAACCAACTTTGGGACGTACGAACATACAGACGGACAAGGGTAAAACTTAATGCCCCCTCCGCTACGGCGGGGGCATAAAAAAGTGTGGAAAACTGATTTGCCAGACCAGACAGACGGAGTGCAAACCTACAGACCCCTTCAACTTCGCCTGTAGGGGACTAATAAATCTAACATGATCAATGATCCATGAAAATGAGGTCAAGGACAGATAAACTCTACAAGACAGTTAAGTACCCTTACACCAAATTTAGTTGACCTATTTTTTTATATTGTTATGATTTTTAATTTATAAACCAAATACAATTATTCTATTACTCATTTTAAGAGTGAAAATCAAATGATAAAAAAAACTATACAGTTAAAAATATATAGTTTTTTAAAGGCAGTTGCTGAACCATGAAAATGAGGTCAAGGACAACAGAAATATGCCAGACTAATTTCAGAATACAGGGCATCTGTATGTTTAGTATAGTATATGAAGTATCCTTATCTCCTCCCCTATGATATATAAAGCTTTGTAAAAGTAGTTTAAGCTGCCTATTGCTACAGGATTTAGCATCCTTATGTGTGGCATTCTGTGACATTCCTCACAGGCAAGACACTAAGACATATATATCATTTCAATTTTTTTACCTTACACTTGCTCTTCTTCATTTTTTGCCATTCTACAGTTTGAATGCATTACAATCAACACCCTTTATTTATACTCATTCAATTTAGTGTTTAGCTCCATTTTTTCTTGAAAACCAATTTTATGGATTTCCTCTTTGATTAAAACTTGTATCTAAATGCCAATGAATTACAAATTCTCAATTGATTTATTCATAAGAGAAGTTTAAACAACATATTTAAGATAAAAAAAACCATGTCATTGACTTTTCAACAAAACACAAACCTAGTGTGTACAAAAGCAATGCTATCGTAGATCATACTATAGATTCATTTCTGATTTAAATCAAGGTTCAAGCTGTGTCACGGAAAGTTTACCGGGGTATTTTACATAATTTTAGCAGTTCTTTTTGTCACTGACAATTTTTGTTCTTTCTCAAGGTTCCAGATTAATGATAACAAAGAAAAACATTTCAAATGGATTTAGAAATATCACTGGTTTTATACAGAATGGCCACCTTCAATCTATTCAAACCTTAATACAAACACAGGGATGCTGTGTTTGTTGACTGAGACAAAAGACCTCAAAATTGTCAAGGACAAGGAGTTTTGTACCTTCATCAAGTTATATAGAGATAATGCAGGTTGCAGTCTTGTAATTGACTGCTCCATAGGCTTACATGCAAAACAGCTGATCTTTGAAAATAAAAAAATAAAAAATGCTACATAGAAAAAAAATTTCATGTTCATATCATGTATGTACTAATGTGAAATTGTGATTTAATCGAAAAAAAAGTGGGTCATGCCACGAAGAATAAAAAGTTACGTAACCCTGAAGTCAAAACAATTTTTTTCTACTTTCTGTTTGTTGTTTTTACTAGGCCGCACCACTTCCAGTAAACATGATATCCTTCCACTTTCTTGGATTGATATCCTCAAAAAGATGCAAGATTTTTTTAAATCTATATATATGTTTCAATTCAGCATAAACTTTTTAATCAAACAGAAAAAATTGAGTCCAGAAAAAAATTCAGAAAAAATGGACTATTTTATTTACCTCCATGTTTTGACATGCACCGGAAACTAGAGTTGTAATACAAGACTGGTACCTATAACTATAATGGCATGTCTTAAAAAAATTAATCATTTACTTAGTTTCATTAAGTAGCCATATTTGAACATAAAAAATGCCATTAAAAGAATTGTTTTGTTGTATTAATAAATATAATCCCACTATTAAAGGAGTACCTCTTTCTGAAAAAAGGCAAAATTTGGAAATAAGTCATGCCTATCAAATGATCTGTAAATCTCATTCTAGTCTATCTTTATGAATGTTTTCTTATTATTTGGATACTGTGAAGCTAGGAGGGAATTCTTATCTATTATTTTTATTTTTTTCCTTCTATTTAATTGAACCACATTCAATAGTTTACCCCTCCCCCTTTTTTCCATGAAATCTACCCAAGTGGGCCTCTTGTTTAAGTCAAATTGAAAAAACTACCCAAAACTTTTTCATATTGAAGAATTTGTTGCAATTCAACTATTTAAAGACAAGAATGACCATACCTTTCTCTTTTTTGACTATGCATGTCTTTATACATGCCTACTATATCAGTCAGAGCTCTGACATAAACAAGTCAGAATAAAATGACTTCTTCAAGTCAGAAAGTGTTTTGAAATTCTGACCTGTACGCGTCAATTTTTGTTTTGCGTAGTTTTCACTCGAGTCCGTCAAACCAGAAGTTATTTTGAATTTGCCGCCGATCTACGACACATACGATCACGTGGTTTTTTGCAAGAGATCACGTGTTTGAGAGTCGTTGTTTTGGAAGTGTCTCGAACGAGAAGTCATTGAATATTATATTGATTATTTACGATTTTTAGTGAAAATCTAGGTCATTGTGGGCATTTTTAGAAAGGTAATTCATATTACCTCCGTATTTTCATGGGCATTTTTATATTTTTTGCCTATAAAGAAGTTCCTTGCAAGTGATTTTTTTGCTGTTTCATGAAGGCGCGCGACCTGTAAATACGGACGCGTGGTCTTTGAGATGACCTGGTGTTTGACAATTCTGACTTGTTCAGGTCAGAAAATGTTGTTATGATAATGAATTGTTATTTTCGGGAGATAACTCGTGTTGTCTTAAACAATATTAACATTATTAACCAGTCAGTGCAATTTAAAAAGTAAAATTATTGCTTCGAGCTGAACATCGTCACGTGATTTTTCTATTTTTAAACTCAATCACGAATTGATTTTTTAACCTTTCTGATTCGTTTCTCCCTATGAGAAAAACGATCATTGTGAATATTGATATGATGATAATGAAACGAAAATGGGAAAAATTTTAATAAAAGAAAAAGGAAGGGAGGGGTTTGACTAAAGAACCCAAGGTTTTTTTTTTTATTTTTAAAGTTATAACTTGAGAACAATAAGTGATGCACACACCTGGTCTTCATTTATGATCATGGGACATGATAAAACAAATCAAATGAAATGTAGGGCAAGTCTCCAGGGATCACCCCTATCCCTGTCATTTCTCTATTCCTCTTTATAATGTCAAATTGATTTGAATGAAATATACCGGGCTAGTCTCCAGGTTTACCCCCACCCCCTGCCATTTGCAAATGTTCTTATATTTTGTAAACGGTAGAGATCCCCACCCCTAAACCATATATATTCTTGTATGGGACAATTTAACAAATCAATTGATATGTTGGGTAGGTCCCTGGGGGTCACCCCTACCCCTCCTGTTTGAAAACTTGTAAACGGTCGAGATCCCCACCCCTAAACCATATATTTTCTTGAATAGGACAATAAAACAAATCAAATGAAATATAGGGGAAGTCCCTTGGGGTCACCCCCATCCCCTCCTGTGTGAAAACTTGTAAACGGTCGGGATCCCCACCCCTTAACCATATATATTCTTGTAAGGGTCAATAAGACAAATCAAATGAAATAAAGGTGAAGTCCCTGAGGGTCACCCCACCCCCTCATGTTTGAAAACTTGTAAACCATCGAGATCCCCACCGCTAAACCATATACATTCTTGCACAGGACAATAAAACAAATCAAATGAAATATAGGGGAAGTCCATTGGGGTCATCCCCATCCCCGTTTTTGAAATGTTCTGGATCACCACCCCTAAAGGTAAACCATATGATATTCCTGTTCGTCATTTCAAGAAGATTTGAATGACATGCAGGGTCAAACCCTAGGCGTCACTTATGCATAACACTAGACAAAACCAATTTGTACTGGAACTTTCCCAATGTCAGGCAACCATGGGCATGATGGGATTGACGAATTATGGGAGCTTTGTTTGGGAGACTTCGTAACAGCATCCTGTTACAATTATTTCTTGTTTATTT